TTCAGCTAGAGAGGATTCGTGCCCGCATAGCAGGCATAAGCCTGCTCCCTCTCGCCTCTGCTGGATCCCGTAATCGGCAGTCCCTTCTCTCCTCCCCTTTCCCCGCCATGGGTGTGGACCATAACAGCCGCACCCTTTCCCCAATGGGTTTCCCATTACCGACTGCCTCTGGCTATAACCCCTCCCTCCCCCACCCACTGGGCAACACCCATAGCCAGGCAGATAAGGAAGGCAGCTATGCTAAGGGGTGTAATGGGCCAGTCCCCTGCTGCTTGGCAGGATAAACTCTTCAGTGAGACAGGCCACTGCCTGGCCACCTGCTGGCTCTGGGGACCCCTGGGCCCTGGGAAGGCGCGTCTGGAAACCCTAGAGGGTCCGGGTGGAGAGTCCCGTGGCTCACACTCCAGAGCTCCCCACGCACACACGGTCAGGCTGGAACCAGCCGTTCCTGAAACCACGTTCTTGTGTAGCCTCGCTCTCCACCCTGTTCTGCCTCCCTCGCTCCTCAGTAAGTCACATTTATAGACACGTGTCTCGGGCTCCGCTCCTGGAAGCCTGACCCAGAGCATCCCCATTCTGCAGATGAGCACACTGAGGTGCCGAGGGGTGAAGTAGCCTGACCAGAGTTCCACAGCGGCGACTGGGCCCCGGGGCCAAGGTGTTTGCTCTGATCCAGAGGCCCATCCTGCCCCTGCCCTCGCGGTGACCCTGCCTGCTGAGGGGGGAGCTGCCTGCTCCCCAGAGGCCATGGCCGCGCAGTGGCAAGACCTGCCGTGGAAGGGAACGGAGGGAGCGCTATGGAGGGAAGCCCAGGGGCAGGCGGGCCTGGCCTGGCAGTGAGGGCAGCCAGGAAGCCTAAAAGATTAAATAAAGAAGGTAGCCAGAGACTGGGATGCCAGGAGACAGGCTTTTATTGGAGAGAAGGGTACCTCCGCCGGCTGCTTCCAGAGAGAAAGAGGCCGGGAGAAACCCGGGGTCTACTTTTAAGGGGAGGATAGGGGACGGGGCTCAGGGTACTCAGTGCACGCTGATTGGTGATTAGGGACCCAGGGACTTAGGAATGGGGGGGGGGGGGGGGCCTTAGGGTATCTGGCAGGTGCTGATTGGTGGTTCAGTGCCCAGGTATGTCTGGCTGCGGATGGGGTTTATGTCTGTCCATCAACTGGAGGAAGGGAGGATCTATCAAAGACCTCCCTGAGAAGGGAGAGCCAGCTGGGTCTGGAAGGAGATGGAGGCGTTTGCGAGGTGGAGGAAGAGGATGTGCCAGGCTGGGTGTTGGGAAAGGACCGGAGGTGGGGCTGTGGGTGTTGTCACGGCGTGTTCGGGCCAGCGGGGCCTGGGACCAGCGGGCGAGGGCCCATCTTCTGTCACCCTCTGAGCCCTTCTCGGACCCCTTGGGAAGTCGTAAGAACGTGGCACGACTTTCCCTGGGAGGCAGGGCAAGCCGCGAAGAGGCTGAGAAAGTAAAGAGGCAAGACCAGAAGGGAGTCTTAGAAATAACTTGGGCCAGATGTGTGTACACACGTGTTCTTGTGTGCATACGTATGCGTGCATCTGTGCATGTGTTCTGGGTGTGTCTGTGTGCTTGCATGCGTGCATGTGTGTGGGCTGGAGGTGGGGCTCTCCAGACGAAGGGAGCAGCCAGCACACACGCGCTGGGGCCGCAGTGAGGGGAATGGACTGAGCTCTCCACTCCCTCCTCTACCCTACTTTTATGTTTCTTCCAGGAGTCATATATTTAGAAACATGCACAGTTATTTTTTTTTCTTACACAAATGCAGCTTACTCTATACCCTGTTCTGCCCTGGTTCTTTTTTTTCTTTCTTTCTTTTTTTTTTTTAATATATTTTATTGATTTTTTTTTACAGATAGGAAGGGAGAAGGATAGAGAGCTAGAAACGTCGATGAGAGAGAAACATCGATCAGCTGCCTCCTGCACACTCCCCACTGGGGATGTGCCCACAACCAAGGTACATGCCCTTGATCGGAATCGAACCTGGGACCCTTCAGTCCGCAGGCTGATGCTCTATCCACTGAGCCACACCGCTTTCGGCCCTGGTTCTTTTTTTCTTTTTTTTTCTTTTTAATGAAATATATCTTGGACATTGATCCACGCCATTCCACTTAGTTCTGCTGCTTGTTTTTCACAGGCTGCGTAGGGTTTCAGTGTGTAAACACACCATCATTGATGACCAATTAGTTAAGGTTTTTTCCCCAGTCTTTTCTTATTATATCTAGTATATCTGATGTGGCCTTATAACTAAGGTCACATCAGATATACTAGAGCATATGTGACTCTATGAATTATGAAAATCCCTACGGGCTAAATCCCGAGGCATGGAACTGCCAGGTGTGGTTATGTGGGATCTGTTGGAAGGTGGAGGTTGTATCTGTTTACCCTCTTACAGCAACGCCTCAAAATGCCAGTTAATTCACAACCTTCCCACGGAGTATCCTCGCCAGCCGACGGGCTGAAAAATGCTGTCCCTTGTTTTAGTTAACGTATTTCCTGTGAGGTTGATCATCTTCTCACCTTCTGCAGATCGATTTGTATTTCCTTTTTTGGTAAACGGTCCATGTTCTTTGCCCACTTTTCTATCACGTTGTTACTTTTTTCCTCATTGACTTGTAGTGCGTCTTGATATGTTAAGACATTACACCTTTGTGACATAGCCAGCAGGTATTATTTTCCAGTCTGTCATCTGTCTTTTCACCAAAAAGGAGTGTTCCTGGTCAATACGAAAATGCTGATTTATATCTGGTCAATTTCATCCAGTTTTTCTTTTGATCTCTGAGTTTTGTGTCATGCTTGGCTAGGTCTTCTCTACTCTGCATTATTTTTAAGACCTTTCCACATGTTCTTTTTCAGCATTTAAAACATTTTAACTTTTTAGTTGTGAAATGTAATGCAGGAAACGTATAAAAAAATGAAAGATACAGCTTTCTGAATTGTTGTAAAGTGATTATGTTCTTGTAATACTTTCATGGTTTAACTCACACGTGTCAAACACAAGGCCCGCGGGCCAAATCCGTCCCGCCAGGCCTTGCAATGTGGCCCGCACCGCGCTGTCATCACTGCACTCCGCTGCGTTTCCATCACAATGACAGTTTATGACTGTTCAGTAAACCATTCGGCCCGCGATTTAGGCTGGATTTTAGATTTTGGCCCCTTCTCTGATTGAGTTCGACACCCCTAGTTTAACTTTTTACATTTAAATCTTGGTATAATTTGTGAGACAAAAAAATCCCTCTTCATTGAAAAAGAATATGTTTTAAAGTGTTTATGGAATATTTCATTTATTTTAAAATATTTTTATTGATTTCAAGAGGAAGGGAAAGGAAGAGAGAGATAGAAACATCAGTGAGGAGAGAGAATCATGGATCGGCTGCCTTCTGATGCCACACACACACCCCTAATTGGGGATTGTGCCCAACTAGAAAGAGAACCATGACCTCCTGGCTCATTGGTTGAAGCTCAACCACTGAGCCACACTGGTCAAGTAGACCCAGAAAATTTTTAGGTGCACCAGAGGCAAACAAGAGTAGTAGTTGTGAGAATTAAAATAGAAAGGCTAACTAAAGCACTTAGCAAATACTCATTACATGTGTTCAGCTAGTGAGACCGCAGTTCTAGTAAAATCATAGTTTTGTCCCTTAAACACACACAACACAGTAAACTAAACAGTAGAATAAGATAGATCCTCCAGATGTAGAAATTACTTTTTTTTTTTACTGGGATTTTCAGCCTCTGTCTGTCAGACTCGATGTGGATGTTTATCCTCATTGGTTGCCTTCTGAAGTCCGTTCAGTTACTATTCGAGTTGTGTGAGAACTTTCATTTCTCTCAGGCATTGCTGGTGATGTCTGTGCTTAATCATCATCACGCATTTTTCTTCCTCACATATTGAGGAAATGTCTGCTCTAGTTTTTAATGTAAATAGTCATATATATATTTTTAATTTCTTTATTAATTAAGGTATCATATATTTGTCCTCTCTCTATTTTTTTTTTTTTTATTGATTTCAGAGAGGAAAGGAAAGGGAGAGAGAGACAGAAGCATCAATGATGAGAGAGAATCATTGATCGGCTGCCTCCTGCACACCCCACACTGGGGATCCAACCTGCAACCCGGGCCTGTGCCCTAACTGGGAATCAAACTGTGACTTACTGGTTCATAGGCCAACGTTCAACCCCTGAGCCATGTCAGCTGGGAGTATGTGTGTGTATGTATGTATGTGTATATATATATATATATATATATATATATATATATATATATATATATGTGTGTGTGTGTGTGTGTGTGTGTGTGTGTGTGTGTGTGTATATATATATATATATATATATATATATACACACATACTTAAATCAAAACACACCTTTTAAAAAGCTCAAATGGTACAAAGTGGTCCAAGAGTATGGTATAAGGGGATAATCCTGTCACGTGTCTCGCCTAGCCCTAGAGCTGGTCTCTGTGTATGCAAGGACACACACATTTAAAACATACACGTGTGCAGCCTTTAAAATTTGAGTTTACTTACTAATATACATTGGGGCTTGCTGTTTTTGTGGCTCACCCCTGTTGCTGAATAATATTCCATTGTGTAGATCTACTGAAACTGAGGGTTCTTATGACTTGCATTAAATTTAGTTTTATTCTTTTTCTTTATTTATTTTAATTACCTCTTATTTTGTTTCTTAATCCTCACCCAAGAAATTTTTCCAATGATTTTTAGAGAGAGTGGAAGGGAGGGGGAGAGACACACAGAGAGAAACATCCATGTGAGAGAGTCTCAGTGATTGGTTGCCTCCTGCATACATCCCGATCAGGGCCAGGGATGGAGCTACAACCGAGGTGCATGCCCTTGATGGGAACTGATCCCAGGACCCTTCAGTCTGGGGGCTGACGCTCTGTCCACTGAGCCAAAGCAGCCAGGGCTTAGATTGTGTTCTAAATCCTCCTACTGTAGAAACAGTGTTCCCTCTCATTCTCTTCACAGGCCTGCCTGTCCCCCAGCTCATCAGCAGCCCCGGAGGCGCTGGAAGACGGAGTCCGGACCTGAGTCCCGGGCAGGCTCAAGGCCACATCTTGATCCTCGGAGCCCTGAGTGGAGTGAGCCTCTGGGGACACCGGGAAAGACGTCAGCAGGGCGTCGTGCCTCCAGCTGGACATGCCACTCGCGAAGCTGATTGGACCCTACTCAGATGCTGCCTGAAGCTGGCCCCTGGGTATGTTGGCTCTGGGGCCTCTTGGGAGGGACACTGGTGCAGGCCAAGGTCAGACTGGCCCTGGACAACCTGATTAGAACCACAAAGCAGCCCGCAGTGTGTGGTGCCTCTGCTGGGCCTGCGTGTGTATGGGGAGAACCAAGCTGAGCACCAAGCCTGGCTTTTACGAGTAGGAGCCCGGGTCCCGGGGGAGCTCAGCAAATGTCCGCGGTGCGCCATGTCTAGCGGGGTGCTTGCACCCCTTTGTGGGGGGGGCAGGGTCTCGGGGGGTCCTCAGGGGGAGGCCGGAAGGGTTCATCAGGCCGTGTGCAGGGAGGGCTCTGCACCAGTGGGGGGTGCGAGGGGAAAGTCAGTCTGTCCCTGAGTCTGCCAGGAGCCGCGGGGGGGGGGGGGGGGGGGGGGGGGGGGGGGGCCTGGGAGTCAGGAGAAGAGGAGGTGCCAGTCAGTGTTGGGGGAATGTGGGGGTGTGCCCCGTCTCCCACTCCAGAGCCACACAACTCAGATGCCCAGGATTCTGCCCACTCCTCAGCAGGGCAGACCCCCTAAGGCTCCAGAGGGTGGGGCTAGCGGATCTCCCGAGAGCTCTTGCTTCTCTCCATTTCTTCGGTTAGAATTTGACAGTTTTGTTTGAAGAAATGTCATTAGTATCCCCAGTACCTCTAACTCTCTGTCTTTTTTTCCCATTGATTTTTAGTGGAAGGGAGGGGGAGAGACAGAGAGAAGCATCCATGTGGGAGAGACACATTGATAGGCTGTCTCCTGCACATGCCCTGACTGGGGCCAGAGATGGAGTCTGCAACCGAGGTAGGTGCCCTTGACCGGAATCGAACCCTTCAGTCTGAGGGCTGATGCTCTAGCCACTGAGAAACTGGCTATTTCTTTTTTCCCTTATTTCCAACCACAGTATGGACTGTCTCCACGGACACCCTAGAGCGTCTAGGATGAACCAGGAAGCCAAGTAGGTGACCTTTCCCCTTTGCCTCCTCTCTGTTTCTCCCATTCACTCCTTTCCTCCCCCACCCACTGCCAGGACATGCCATCTCCCTGCCCCCAGCTCCCTACCCAGATTGGCCCCATGGGCCTGTCCACAATACAACAAACCTACATTTAGCCACCATTCATGAGAGTGAACATCACTGGACACAAAATCAGCAAGGGCCTACGATAGCATCTAACCTATTTGATAGAGGGTATAACTGAGGCCCAGACAGGGAAGGGACTTGCTGAAGGTTGATTGTGAGTGTGTATCAGCCAGGACGGGCTTGTTTATGCTGCGTAACAAACAACCTACAAAGTCCCAGTGTCTTAAGAGAGCAAATGTTTATTTCCTGCTCCTAGTTCTTGTCTATTACAAATCCACTGGGACCTCTGCTCTGCATGGTCCTCTTTCCTGGGCCCCGTCTAAAACAGCAGCCACAAGCTGGAGGACTGCCAGTCCCTGTGGTTGCAGATCGAACCTGTTCGGGTCCACCTCATGGCCCAATATGGCTGCCCAAGGCTCAGCCATCACATCATCCTTCCAGCCACAGGAAGAAGGATACACAACACTACATCCCGTTGGCCAACACTTAATGACCTGGCTGCATCTGACCGCAAGGCTGGAAACAGAGTCTATTCCGGAGGATGAGGGGATATTCAGGGGTTCTAGTGCTGAGGAACAAGGGGAGGGCCAGTTTGGGGAGACAAGTGCTTAACTCAGACAGAGAGCACCATCGAGGGGTCCATGGGAAGGACCATTCCCAGGGCACCGTCTACAGTAGGGGTGTCGAACTCAATCAGAGAAGGGGCCAAAATCTAAAATCCAGCCTAAATCTCGGGCCGAATGGTTTACTGAACAGTCATAAACTGTCATTGTGATGGAAACGCAGCGGAGTGCAGTGATGACAGCGCGGTGCGGGCCACATTGCAAGGCCTGGCGGGACGGATTTGGCCCGCGGGCCTTGTGTTTGACACATGTGGTCTACAGGGAGTGAACGAGGCCATTTCAGAGCCAGGACACAGGCTCAGTTGGTTTCCCCCAAGCTGCCTTATCCCCTTGCTCACCTATCCCCTGTTCACCTGTCCCCCCAGCTCACGTATCCCCCCCAAGTTCACTTGTCCCCCAGCTCACCTATCCCCAGGTCATCTACTCCCCAGCTCACCTGCCCCCAGCTCACCTATCCCCCCAAGTTCACTTGTCCCCCAGCTCCCCTGCTCCCCAGCTCACCTGTCCCCCAGCTCACTTGCCTACCCTGTCCCTGCAGGGCCAGCTCCTCATGGACCCCATTAGCTTCAAGCTGGGCACCAAGAACCAGTGGGGTGAGCTCGTGAGTCTGCTCAGCGATCACCCAGAATGGCTGAATGCCAAGGTGAAGTTCTTCCTCCCCAACATGGACCTGGGCTCCAGGGCCGAGGGCCCAGGCCCCGCACAGAGGGTCCTCCTACAGCTCAGGGAGCTGCGCAGCCAGGGCCGGGTCACCTGGAGGGCGTTCATCCACTGCGTGTGCATGGAGCTGGATGTGCCCCTGGAGCTGGAGGTGCGGCTGATGAGCACCTGGGGCCACGGAGACGGTAAGGGGTGCAGAGGGGCTCCGGGAAGATGGGCCCCACGTGAGTCACACAGTTGTCTCAGGGCAGAAACACAACTCCATGGTTCTGGACACGTCCTAGGGCAAATTCCCTGCTGCCATCACATCAGCTGGGGACCTCCCACCGGGTACCATCCCCGTTGTCCAGGGAGGCAGGATACAAGGAGAGAAAGAGCTGGGTGACTCCTTGCAGAGAGGAAATGCCAAGTAGCCCATCATGCCCCGGAGCTTCCTTCTTGCAAGGAGGTCAGAAGCAGGCGCGGGGAGAGACCTCTGACCTGTGCTGCTAGTTGCACATTGAACCTGGTCAGGTCCGGGGGCGTTTCTTGGGCACCTTCTGTTTTCACAGCGCTGTGTGGAGACAGTGAGAACTCACTCTACGCCTCCACCACAAGGCAGCGTGCAGGAAATGCAGAGGGTTCACCATGGGCACATACACACCTGCACACATCTGCATGCATGCCTACATACATGTGCGCTCACACATACCCGGCCATGCACAAACCTATACATACACACACATGTCTGTCCCCAGCTGCCTTCTCGGCTCATCACCAAGCTGTGCCCTCCACAGATCGCTGATGGTAAACTTGATCTCTCTCTTGCTGGGGACCCACCCTTTGGGGTGAGCCCTGAGCCAGCCATCAGTGCTGGTCCCAGCACATCCCATGTGTATTATATCCCCCCCCCCTCTCTCCCAGGGTTTCCTGGTCCTCCGGAAATGGGTGCAGAAAGCCAGCCTGAACCTCAGCTCCCCCTGGGTGAGGCCTGGGGTCGGGGAACAGAAGGGGGTGGTGAGCATGCTCGGTTCCTGTGTCAAACCCAAAGAAGGCCACTGGCTGGTCCCAGCCATTTCCCTCAGCCCCTGATCCACCTGCCTGTGTCCCCGGCCCCTTTCCAATCAGGGGCCTTTTATTTGTTTTTCTTTCCTTTTTTAATATATATTTTATTGATTTTTTTACAGAGAGGAAGAGAGAGGGACAGAGAGTTAGAAACATCAATGAGAGAGAATCATCGATCAGCTGCCTCTTGCACACCCCCTACTGGGGATGTGCCCGCCACCAAGGTACATGCCCTTGACCGGAATCGAACCTGGGACCTTTCAGTCCGCAGGCCGACGCTCTATCCACTGAGCCACACCGGTTTCGGCTTACTTGTTTTCCTTGCCTCATGGCTCTGGCCGGTAGTTCCGGGACCGTGCTGAATAGAGGTGGTGAGAGTGGGCATCCTTGTCTTGTTCCTGATGGTAGAGGAGAAGCTTTCGGTCTTTCACCACAGACTGCGATGCTCACAGTGGGTTCAGAACCTTCATTGCTATCGATGGGGGGACATTTCACTTAGAGGCACGCACGGCAGTACCAGCAAGCTCCAACAGGAAACATCTCACCCGTCACCCCAGCCCCCCCACCAATCCAGACTGTCTGTCCCGGTCCCCGGTCCCTGCTGGCCCTGATCACCGAGCTGCCTTCACTCAGCCCCTGGGTGTGGATCCACGTGTCTGCCTGCCTCCTGTGGGTGAAAGGGAGCTCCCCAACATACTGGGCACCTCCCTCCTCGGCCCCGAAACCTCGCCCCTTACGCTGTCCTTCGTTTTTTCTAGGCCTCAAGCGGCCTCACCAGAGCTGCGGGTCCTCGCCCCGCAGGAAGCAGCTCAGGAGGCAGCAGTTCGGTGGGTGCCCGGGTGGGGCGGGACCTGAACACAGGCACTGGGCTGCCCTGGGGCCAGGACACAGATCCCAGACTCTGTCCCCTGCCCACGAGCCTCCAGGGGCTTAGTGGCTCCCTGTAGTCCAGGCTTCCATGAAAGAAGGATGGAAGGTCCTGCGTGGGCAGAGGAGGGGGCGGAGTCTGGCCAGTGGGGCCTCCCCCAGAGATGACTCAGCTGAGGGAGCAGGAAGCAGCCCTGAAGGACAGGGTGCAGCTTTGTCATTTCGCTGCCTCCAGGGACACCCCGCGTCCTCGGGGTTGAGGGCCCCAGGGAAGGGGGGCCTGGGCCCTCGGGGGCCGGTTTAGAGGTAAACAGGATGCCAGGGAGAACTCCCCCAAAGCGGGAGCCCCGAGACACACGGGGAGAAGACATGGGGGCAAGGAGGACTGGCCAGGGGACTGGGAGAGACGGCACATCCCTCATTTTCCATCAGCTGTGAGGAAGAGTCCTGCTCCCCGCCAGGCCAGCTGTCCCACCAGCTGGGAGACCCAACCCCCACGGGGCACAAGGATACAAAACAGACTGCCACCTCAGGGCTCCCGCTGGCCCTCCCCCACTGCCCGCCCCCCCCCCCCCCACCACAGTGGCCCCAGTCTCAAGCCAGTACCTGGCACCATGGGGGGGCCCAGTTCCCACAGTTCTGATTGGTCAGTGCCGGGGTCGCTAGCACCCGCCCTCCCCTGCCCCCGGGGCATTACAGAGCTGAACCGGTGGGGAGGGGCACAGATTCCTCAGATCCTGCAGGAAGAGGTGGTTCTGATAAGAAAGTTGCAAAAAAGAAAAAAGAAGAAGCTGCAAAGGAGGGGCCCGCTCCCCTTTCCCCATCGTACTGAAAACTCTACCGGCCCCCGAGCTGTTGCAAAACAGAGAGCCGTGACCCCCACCTCCCCACCTGGGGAAACAGCTGCCAGAGTCTCTGCTTCGGCAGGAGCAGTGCCTCCCCTGGGTCCTCGTGCCCCCCCCCGCCCCCCACATATACACCGCTGGGCTGTAGGGTCTCAGCAGCCAGTCCTGGGAGGGGGAGGTTGGGGGCGAGGGCAGGCCTCTCGAACCTCATGCCATCTCCCTGCCCCCCCGCAGAACTGGCCAGGAGGTACCTAGAGCAGCTGAAGACCTGGGCCCAGCAGCGCCATGGCGGCCAGCTCCCGGGGCCAGGGCAGCCCCTCGCCTTCCCCGAGGCCTACGTGCCCCCCATCCTGCAGTGGAGCCGGGCCACGGCGCCTTTCCGCGCTCGGGAGGGCGCAGAGGACGGCGCGGACGTGAGGCTCCAGGACCTCTTTGGCCCCGGGGCCGGGGACAGGGGCCCGCGGGTGATGGTGCTTCTGGGGAAGGCGGGCACGGGCAAGACCACGCTGGCCCGCTGGCTGTGCCAGAGGTGGGCCGCCGGCCAGCTGGACCGCTTCCTGGCCCTGTTCCTGTTCGAGTTCCGCCAGCTCAACCTGCTGGCCGAGGCCCCGACGCTGCCCCAGCTCCTCTTCCACCTGGGCCTCCGTCCCGAGGAGGACCCTGACGCCGTCCTGCAGTTCCTGGAGTGGAGCGCCAAGCAGGTCCTGCTCGTCTTCGACGGGCTGGACGAGGCCCTCCACCCCGACCCCCGCCCCGGGGCGCCCGGCCCGGCCCTCGCCCTCTTCTCCGGCCTGTGCCGGGGGGCCCTCCTGCCCGGCTGCAGGGTCCTGGCCACCTCGCGGCCGGGGAAGCTGCCGGACTGCCTGCCCGCCGAGGCCGCCACCGTCCACCTGTGGGGCTTCGACGGGCCGCGGGTGGAGGAGTACGTGGGCCGCTTCTTCGGCGACCGGCCGGCCCGGGAGGCGGCCCTGGCGGAGCTGCGGGCCAACGGGCACCTCCGGAGCATGTGCGCGGTGCCCGCCCTGTGCCGCATCGCCTGCCTCTGCCTCCGCCACCTGCTCCCGGGCATGTCTCCGGGTCAGTCGGCGGCCCTCCTGCCCACCGTGACTCAGACCTACGTGCAGATGGTGCTCGCCCTGAGCCCCCGCGGGCACTGGACCCCCGAGGCCCTGAGGGGCCTGGGGAAGGTGGCCCTGGGCGGGCTGGAGGCCGGGAAGGTGATCTTCTCTGCCACGGACATCCCTCCCTCCGTGATGGCCCTCGGGGCCGCCCTGGGCCTGCTGACCTCCTTCGGCGCCTGCACGGGCCCCGGGCAGCGGGAGACGGGCTACGCCTTCACCCACCTCAGCCTGCAGGAGTTCCTGGCTGCCCTGCACCTGATGGCCAGTCCCACGGTGGACGAAGACACGCTCGCCCGCCACGTCACCCTCCATTCCCGCTGGGTGCTGCGGACCAAAGCCAGGCTGGGCCTCTGGGACCACCTCCCCGCCTTCCTGGCGGGCCTGGCATCCCCCGCCTGCCATCCCTTCCTCGCGCAGCTGGCGGAGCAGGGCGAGGGGTGGGTGCGCGCCAAGCAGGCCACGGTCCTCCAGGCGCTGAGGAGGCTGGCCACGCGCAGGCACACGGGGCCGAAGGTGGTGGAGCTGTGCCACTGTGTGGGCGAGACGCAGGAGCCCGAGCTGGCCAGCCTCGTGGCCCGGAGCTTCCCCGGCCAGCTGTCCTTCCATAACTTCCTGCTGAGCTACGCCGACCTGGCCGCCCTGACCAACGTCCTGGGGCACCGGGAGGCCCCCATCCACCTGGAGTTCGAGGGCTGCCCGCTGGAGCCCCGCTGCCCGGAGGCCCTGGCCGGCTGTGGGCAGGTGGAGAGCCTCAGGTGAGGAAGGGGGGTGCGGGGAGCTGGACGTTTGGGCGCGTGAAGGCCTCCACGCTGGCAGAGCCACTGCGGGAGGCTGGAGAGGAATCGTGGGCACCAGGGAGGGCGGGCCCTTCTGGTCCCTTAGCCTGTGACACGGTCAGGAGCTCCGGGCCTCACCGGGGCCTCTGGGGTCCGCTGGATCTCCTTTGCTTGTGGGACCCGGATGGCCATGGGCTGGAGCCGCTGATCCAAGGCTCTGTGACTTCCGTGTTATTTAACCTCTCAGCCTGAGTGTCTCCGTCCCTCACGTGAATCAGTAATAAAACCTGCCTCCTGGGAGGTGAGATGATGCATGAAAAAAACACTTCTTAGCACAGCTCCCGGCACACAGTCATGGGCTCCATGTGTGTAGTAGCTAGAGAAAAGGCCAAGCTGCAGTAACAAAGAGCCCCTCACACACACACACACACACACACACACACCCAATTTCCAAAACAGAGTGGGTTCAATGCTGCAGCGTTTTCTTTCACTCAGAGTCCAGGTCAGCGGGATTGCTCAGCTCCACATGGCCGCATGGGGGCCTGGTTCCTCCCATTCCTGCTCCATCGTCTCCTCGGGCATGTTGATCTGCAGGGTCAAAGCTGAGTCAGGGGCACATCTGTGCTCTGGCTTGGGGAGAGGAAAAGAGAGGTCATGGATTAGACAGTCCGTGTGGTCAAGCTCACTCCTGGAAATAGGGCACATCTCCCAGATGGCATCTCCCAGATGGCATTTCCCAGCCTCCCTTGCAGCTCAGTGTGGCCATGTGACTATGTTCTCCCAGTCACATCCCAGTGTGAGAACATAGTCACATGGCCACACTGAGCTGCAAAGGAGGCTGGGAAATGCCATCTGGCTGAGAAACCATCTTCCTAGGCATAGCTCCGTGCATGGAGGATGGGTTCCAGTGGACAGTTAGCAGTCTCTGCCATATTATGTATTTGTTGCCACTACAACCATTGCAACAACAGCAATAACAATTACTACAATTTTCCCCCATTAATCCTCACCCGAGGATATTTTCCCATTGACTTTTAGGGAGAGGAGAAGAGAGAGGGAAAGACAGAGAGAAACATCAATGTGAGAGAAACACATCGATTGGTTGCCTCCTGCATGGGCCCTGACCAGGGTCTGGGCCAGGGCCAGGGAGGCTTACAACCGAGGTATGTGCCCTTGACCAGAATCAAACCGGGGACCCTTGGGTCCACAGGCCGATGCCCTATCCACTGAGCCAAACTGTCTAGGGCACATGTGTCAAACACAAGGCCCGCGGGCCAAATCCGTCCCGCCAGGCCTTGCAATGTGGCCCGCACCGCGCTGTCATCACTGCACTCCGCTGCGTTTCCATCACAATGACAGTTTATGACTGTTCAGTAAACCATTCAGCCCGCGATTTAGGCTGGGTTTTAGATTTTGGCCCCTTCTCTGATTGAGTTCGACACCCCTAGTCTAGGGCAACAGCTACTATTAATGTTACTGTATTTATTCGGAGGAGGGGTGGGCATGACCTCTAAGCCTCGCCCAGCCTTGATGACCTGCCACCTTGCCTCTTCCTGTGGCAGCTTTAAGAGCAGGAAGTGTGGGGACGCCTTCGCAGAAGCCCTCTCCAGGAGCTTGCCGACAATGGGGAGCCTGAAGAAGCTGGGGTGAGCCGGGACTCAGAACCCAGAGGGGTCCTCGGCTGGGGATGCTGGAACTCTCCTCCCTCCCCTCAACCCTACGCAGGGCAGGTGGGGGCCTACCCCCTCCCGTCCCCACTTCTCCCGTCCGCCTTTGCTTACCCTGTAGGTTAGCCGGAAGTAAGATCACTGCCCAAGGCATCTGCCAGCTGGTGCAGGCTTTGCCCCTGTGCCCACACCTGGAAGAAGTCAGGTGAGTGATCTCCAGGAGGGTCCGCCCGCCGAGGGAAGAGGCCATGCCCACGGCTTGCATGTTCCGTGGGACCTGACGGGTAGTTTTCCATGAGGCTCAGAGCGGGGCGGCATCGGTCTAATAGCTGGGTGGGGCTGGATCCAAACTCATGGCTCCTAAAGACCCCAGACAAGTGCTTCTCTCATCCAATATTTTGGGCCATTTTGAAGGAGGTTGATTTTGAGGGCCCTTCCCTCTCTCTGTGACCCTGACCGGGGGATGGCAGTACGTAGGCTGGTGGTGGGCACTGTGGGTACACATAAATGCACGAATCATATGCACAATCATGCACAAATGCATGAAACACACACACGTGCACTTTTCTGCTCACTTAAGTACATGCCCCACATACATGCCCATTCCAAGGTGTGCATATGTGCCGCACACTCACACATGCACACTTAGATCCACATGTACCCTCCTACCTGTGTCTGAGATGAGTGGCTGGAGAAGGTTGGGGCCAGGGCACCTCCTCGGCAGCTCGCTGGCGGGCCCGCTGCCACTTGGCACCTTTGTGAGATTTGAAAAAGGCACCCCTCATCCCGGCAGGTGCATCAGCTGGACCACAGCTCTGCTCTGTCCCCCCCCCGCGGGGTGTCTCCATGCATGCTCGCTGTGCCTGATGGGAGAAAAGATCGAGGTCACCCTCGATAACTAGAGAAGTCAATGTCAACAAGTTCAGCACTTCCAAACATGTTTCTTGACCAGACTGGTCACACACAGAGGCACCGCGAACTCTTCCATTCTTCGGCCCCTCCAGCTAGGAACCCAGGCAGGACTGGGCTGTGGTTCCATTCGATAGGCGAGGGATGTGAGGTCAGGGCTCTGGTGAGTCAGGGCCAGAGCTGAAGCCGGAAGCGGCACTTCCTGCATCCCCGCCTATGCCACTCATCACCTGGGAGGCAAGAGGCCCTGATGAACTTGAACCTCAGGCACATCCCAGACATTTTCCTGAGAACAGGGAGCTGGGTCTCCTCATCCCACCTCAGGAAGCCTTCATAGTCCACCCGCTGGGTCCCTGGGGCCACCAGGCAGGAACTCCCCAGAGGGACTGAAGGGGGCAGCATCGAGGCCAGGAGAGGGCCTTTCTCCCCAGCTGGACCTATTGAATACCATAGAGCAGGTCACCCACTCCTTCTGGGACCGTATATGGTGTCTCCCCCATGCGGGTGGCCATGCCTGTCCCTTGCCCACTGGAGCGTCGAGGGGCCCCCACCCCAGGGCTGAGGGACTGGGTCTCCCTGCAGCTTTCAGGACAACCAGCTCAAGCACGAGGAGCTGCTGAACATCATGGAGGTCCTCCCTCGCCTGCCGAGGCTCCGGAAGCTTGAGTAAGAGGCCTTCTCACCTGCCTGAGTCGCCCTCCGACCTTAGAGAGCGAAGGTCTGGGGCCCGTGAGACAGGGGATTCACTCCTGACACCTTTGCCTCAATCACGCAGTCTGAGCCACAACAAGGTCTCCATGACGACCCAGCTCAGCTTGACCAAGATGGCAGTCACGTGCCCGACTATCAGGACGCTGCAAGTCAGGTGAGCAGAAGGCGTGGGAGTCTGGCCCTCGGGGTCTTGAGAAAAGAGGAGGGGATAGGGAAAAGAGGGAGCCGCTAGTGTGTAAGATGCCCACGCTTGAGTTTGTTTTACTCACATCAGTGTGCCCAGTGCCTTGCGCAGGCCTGGTACCTGGTACCCAACAAGTCGTGAATGAATGGAAAGAGGGATGGAGGGACCAACAGAGGGATGAAGGAATGAATCAACAAAAGGGGGAGGAGGGAATCTAGGAAATATAGGCAAAGCTCGGAATTAGGCGCCCCGCCCCCCTGTGTCGCTCTCCGTGGTGCTGAACCAGCGCTGCCCGTTTGGATGACCGGCAGGTTAAGTGTTAACGCCTCTGAATCCTAAAACCCAGGAGCTCCCATAAAAATCTCTGTGTTCCTGATTTTTATGATCTCTCTCGTAAAAGTGGTCTTCCTGACTTTTTGAAACATTCTGGGTTCGTCAAGCAATGCATTGTCACAATTTGACCTGTCTGATTCAGAGCCCCTTAGCCAGTGTGGTGAGGGTCCATCACAAAATCCGCTTTCTCTGGCGGGTTGGGACAGCATGGGGTGCGCAGGTAGGGGGCGAAGTGCCGGTTTCTGGTCCACGGGTTTCACGGCTTGATGTCTGGCCCTGCAGGGAGGCGGACCTCATCATCCTTCTCTCCCCGCCCCCCGAGACAGCGGCAGAGGAGCGACCTGGGTAAGAAGTCAGGGGGGTGGGGGGGCTGGTTTGGGCTCGAGCAGTCGTGGGCAAAGGGGGCCAAGGGTGCTGAGGGAGAGCTGGGGCGTGGGGGTTCTTCCTGCTGCTGCTGCCCTGAGAAATTGGGAAAGGACTTCCGCTTCTGCTGGCCTCTCCGGACCACATATGGGTGCTGGAGGGAGGGAGCATCCTCAGAGGTCCAGAGGGAGCCCGCCCCTTGGGGTGGGGGTGAGGGTGAGGGTGGGGGAGGCATGAAGAGACTGTTAGACAGCGTTACTACATGGGGGAACGTTTCCTAACTGCAAAACATAAAAAATAAATAAAAAGAAAAGGCAGTTACGGTGCCTACATCGTATGGCTGTCCTGAGAATTAAACAATTAATACATTACTGCTTCGAACCCGGCTGGCATCCAGTTGGCACTCAAGTGCTGGCTGTTCCAGCTGCGCTTGGGTCCCAGCTTGGCCAGCCCTGGGTGGCCAAAGGAAGGGAAGTTGGCTTTCTGTGAAAGAACATTCCAATGATACTTTCCCACACCACTCCCGGCGAGACTCTGAAGCAGATGACATTGTATGTCCCTGGGCAAGTCCTTTCCTGACTCCGAGCCTCACTCCCCTCAGCCATGCAGGGACTCAGTAGGACCACTATCCTTTCCCCCATCCCCCCTGACTGCCCGGAGAGGTGGTACCCAACACCGTAGCCACCAGCCACATGTGACTATTCAAGCTTATATTCATTAAAATGAAGTGAAGTGGGCATTTCATGTCACCAGTCACATCAGCCACGTTTCAGTGCTCATTGGCCATAGGAGGCCCGTGGCTCCCACAACGAGGAGCCCGGATACAAAACCTTCCCATCACCCCAGGAAGGTCTGTGGATGGCACTGATCTCCAAGTCCGTGTAAACCTGGCTCACGCCGTCCCAGGTCTGTCCAGGCCCAGCCCACCCCGGGCCCAGTGGAGGGACCTGAAGCGGCTGAGGCTTTCCACAGCCTGGCTCACGTGTGGCCCGTGTTGCTGGCCTTCTGACCCCCGGGTGGGACATCTATCTGCCCGTGGAGACCAGGGCATCTTGAACAACTGCGGCTGCTTTTTACCGAGCTTCTCTTTGGTGCCTGTGGTGGGCACGTGATCATAGGTCGCCCCGCCCGGTCCTTCGGTCGCTCTGTACGTCAGGTATTGTCATTTCATGTCAGAAAAGAGAAAACGGAGGCTCCGAGGGGTGGCGGGATTTGCCCGAGGCCGCACGGCTGTGCAAGGCAGAGTCAGAATTCTAGTCAAGGATCCATGTGACGCCAAACCGCTTGCTCCTGCTGCTTCACCGAATAGTGCCGTGAGCACCTGCAAGCAGCCGGCTTTGCTGCTCAGTCACTGCGGGTCACGCTGAGGAGTCTTCAGTCCCTAGAAGCCAAGAGCAGAGCCCAGGCCAATGTCAGACTTGCTCTTGCCAGATCCCCAGACGCACGGGGAGACGCCAGCCAGAAGGAGGCTCAGCCCAGAAGCCTGGCCCTCAGGTACCTCCATGGGGTCCATGTTCTGCAGAGGAGGGCTGTGATGTGGGCGGAGGGTGCCTTCCCAGGGGCGGGGAGGGAGAAGGGGAAAAGCAGACCTGGGGCGGGGAAAGGACACGAATCACCCATCCCAGCCTGAACAAGGAGCATCTGGCAAACAACAGCAGCAGTAGCTGTAATGTAATGGGCCCTCACTGTGTACTGGGCGCTGTGGTATTGTATACCCGTTACCTCATTGTTATTCTTTTTAAAATATATATATTTTATTAAATTTTTACAGAGAGGAAGAGAGAGGGATAGAGAGTTAGAAACATCGATGAGAGAGAATCATCCATCAGCTGCCTCTTGCACACCCCCTACTGGGGATGTGCCCGCAACCAAGGTACCTGCCCTTGACCGGAATCGAACCTGGGACCCTTCAGTCCACAGGCTGACACTCTATCCACTGAGCCAAACCGGTTTCGGCTCATTGTGATTCTTTTGAAAAGGTCCACATTATTGTTCCCATTTGACAGAGGAGAACATTGAGTCTCAGACAGCCTAAGGGCCCTGTCCAAGGTTACCCAGTGACTGAGAAACAGGGCCAGGATTCAGCACCAGGTCTGCCAGCCTCCTGGTGCCCCCAGGTCCCATGCCTCGCAGCGGGGCCAGGAGCTAGAGCAGGCATCGTGCAGCTTCTGGCCCTGAGCCCCTCTGCCCGCTCCGCCCCCCACCAGGCTGCCGAAGTGCCGGCTCACCGTCCAAGACGTGGAGGTGCTCATAGCCCAGCTCCAGGAGGGCCCCCGTCTGGAGGAAGTGGAGTGAGTACCGGGGACGCTCTGGGGCAGAAGACAGGAGGGCAGGAGAGGGCAGGGCAGGCCTCCGTGTGGGGTGGGCAGTGTGGGGAAGGTGCCTCCTGAAGGATCTGGGCAAAGCTACTCTAACAGCTGCCACCGTTTCGTGCTCGCTCTGAGCCAGCTGCATTGACACACATCCTCTCAGTGGCTCCTCACCTCTCTGGGACATTGCTGTTCCCATGCACATGTTACAGAGGAGGGAATGACGTCACAGAAAGGTTAAGTAGTGCTCGAGGTCACACCACTAGGAAGTGTCCAGGCCAGGGTTCAAGTTCAGACAGCCTTACTCCAGGCCTCCTCCTTGTGACCACGGCCATGGAGACCTGCAATGCGGGAGCCTCACCACACCTGGGTCTGTCTCCCAAACCACAGGCTGCAGGGTCCCCTCACCTTGCCTCCTCCCCCCCTCTCCCCGCCCCCAGCCCAAAGGCAGGTGGCTCTTCTGGCTGGAGAAATTGCCACGATGTCCAGCTCCTGGGCAGAGCCTCTGGAGAGTGGGGCTTGGGGTGGGGGGGGTCCCGTTGGGGTGAGGGTGAAGTGATGGGATGCCAGAATGCCTTGGAGGTGAGTGGTCCCACCTCACGGTGAGATGGATGGGCTGAGGGCTGCTTTGCTGACTAAAGAGCTTAGTTAAGCCTTGGCCTCTCCCGTTGGGAGAACCAAGATTAGAAAAGGTGGTTTTTATAAACTGACCTGCTCCCACCCACCTCACCACCACCAGCCCACCTGTGCCCCATGCTGTCACCTGTGGTAAGGACCCCACACCCACCTGGTCACACAGACCAGCCACCTCCCAGCCCCCTCACCCTCCTCCCATAGCCAGTCCCTCCTGAGTTGACCTACGCCCTGCGTAGCGCTCCAAACCAGTAGTCGCCACATGCGGCTCTTTGGCCCCCTGAGTGTGGCTCTTCCACAAAACACCATGTGTGGGTGCACACGTACAGAGCGATTGAAACTTCGTGGCCCAGAAGTCGTGGCGCAGAAGTCGGTTTTCGGCTCTCAAAAGAAATTTCAATCATTGTCCTTTTGATTCTTGGCTCTGTTAACTAATGAGTTTGCCGACCACTGCTCCACACCATCTTCTTCTCATCCCCCTCCCTAGCCCAAACGGCTCACCCCTGTCACCGGGACGACCCCCTCAGCCTCCTCGCTGGGCTGCCTGCTTCCACCTGGCCACCTCCACCTGCAGGGTGTGATCTGGGTTTCGCTCCTGCCTGTCCCCTCCGCTCCTTCGCGCTGCTCAGGATAAAGCCCGAATCCTAAAACCCACTGTGGTCCGGAACCCTGCTCCCAGTCCCCACACCCCATCTGACCCCGCCCTCTGCTCAGTCTCCCATCCAGACACACAGGCTCTCTTTCCGGTCCTCCAATGCCCCGGATGTACTGTTCCTACAGCCCCATCTCTCCCCCACCCCTGCCCATGGAACTCCTATGTTTGCCAGCACGCAGCTCAAACATCAGGGAAGCCCGCCCTGACCCCAGACCAGGGCACATGGCCCTGTCACCATGTAGTTGACCACAGGAAGCAATTGTGTAGGATGCGGCATACATAAATGGCTGAGGGCGGGGCTGTGAGGTCAGGCTGCCCAGATTCAAATCCCAGGCCCCCCTTTGAGCAACTGCCCGAACCCGGCTGAGCCTCAGTGTTCTCATCAGGAAGATGGGGCTAACAGCGCCTCCTGTCCTAGGGTTGTGAGGGGGAGTGAAAATGCAATCATTGCAAAAGCCCCGAGGACTGTGCCTGGCAGGTCAGACACAGTCTTTCAACATTATCATTATTTTTTTAAAATATATTTTATTGATTTTTTTACAGAGAGGAAGGAAGAGAGATAGCGAGTTAGAAACATTGATGAGAGAGAATCATCGATCAGCTGCCTCTTGCACACCTCCTACTGGGGATGTGCCCGGTACCCAGGTACATGCCCTTGACCGGAATTGAACCTGGGACTCTTCAGTCTGCAGGCCGACGCTCTATCCACTGAGCAAAACCGGTTTCGGCAACATTATCATTACTATGAAGGGTCGTTTGCTGGAATGATGCTTTGCTTGAAGTCCATGGGGGGGGGTGCATGTGGGGGGTTGCCGAGGGGTGCGGAGGGCCCCCCAGCAGCACGGGCCTCGGGCCCCTCTGTCTCAGCCTCTCAGGGAACCAGCTGAAGGACGAAGGCTGCCGCCTGGTGGCAGAGGCTGCCCCTCAGCTGCGCATCACCGGGAAGCTCGAGTGAGTGGCCTGCTTCACTGATGGGTAACAGGGCCCCCGAGAGTCCCAGCTGGTCCCCACGACCCCTGGTCCCCATGTCTATAGTCACTGTGGGAGCTGCTCTCCCCCACCCCACCACCCGCTTCAAACTCCAGCCAAGTCCCAGTGGCTCAGCCAAGTCCTGCTTTTGCCTCTGACGTGAGCCAATCGTGAACGCCCTGGTGGGATGGGTCCTTGGCACCTCGGCGGCCGGCGTTCTAGTTTGTCCTTACAGCAGCCCCGGGGGAGCGGGGGAGGTGGAGTGGAGGGTTGCATGGAGCCAACATTGGGGTACGGGATGGGTGGGTGCTGGGGTGTTGGGTGGGATGTTGGGGTGTGAGGGTGGAGGTACAGTGTTGGATGGGGGGATGGGATGGGTTGTGGGGTTGTGTGGGATGGAAAGGAAGGGGATTGAGCTGATGAGTGTGCTACGCTGCCACGTGGTGAAGTGGGGGTGCTGTTTGGATGGCCTGTGTTGGGTCGTAGCGTGAAGTGTGGGCTGGGGTGGGGGTGTGGAGGAGGGGTAACGCATGAGGAGCCTTGGCTTCGTGTTGAACTCCTGGCTCTGTCATTGGGTAGCTCTGTGACCCTGGGAAGGTCATGTAACATCTCCCAGCCTCAGTTTCCCCTCTTGTTCAATGCGCTTAGGATGGTGCTTATTTTGCACACCTGGGTGCTGAGGCTCCGAGGGGCGAAAGCCGTGCATCGGTTCTGGTCACTCGGCTGGAGAACTTTAGTCTCTGAGGGGGGCAGGGTCCTGCGTCTCTCGGCTCATCCACATGAGCGGGAACCCTTTGAGACTGGGGACATCCGAAGAGGGACAGCCAGCCCGCGGCCGGCCGGGCTGGGAGGAGGGGCTGGCGCAGGCTGGGGCTGGGGACCTCAGCCACCCCGTCTCTCCGCAGCCTCAGCGACAACGGGCTCTCGCTGGCGGGGCTGCCCTGTGTGCTGAGGGCAGTGGGCACGTGCCGGAGCCTGGCAGACCTGCACATCAGGTGAGTGAGGCCGTGGGCACCTGTCCCCGTGCCCTCCTCCAGCCTAGACCCTCACTCCTCCCCTTCTCCCTGGTCCGGGCTGGCTCCGGAGAGAGGGACTCGACAAAACCGCGATATGGCTGCAGGGTTTGGATGGAGTGGCGCATGCGGCAAACGTGAGCATGCTAACTCGTCCTTTTCCTAACAAAGCTTTTCAAACACACTCCACGGCAGGGGGAGCGGTGTCACAGTGATTATCCAAACCGTGCCACGCTTGCTGAGTCTGTCCCTTGAAAACCCGATTTTTAGAAGAACATTTGTCGTCTTAATCGCATTTTTTAAGAAAAAGAAAAGAAAGAACATTGTCTGTCCCGACCTGGCAGTACCTCCCGACCTGGCAAGCAGCCTCAGCCCAGGTGCCACCGGTGGGCAGAGGGAGGGTTTCAGCCTGAGGCCCAAACCACAGAGACCACAGAACGGAAGTTTTATTTCAAGGACGCGCCCGGAAACGAGGGCTGATGACAGCTGATGAAATCTGTGAAAGGAAGACTCCAGGCCCGAAGCTCAGAGGTCAGGGGAGGTCAGAGGAAGTGACCGCAGCTAGAGGCTGGGCATGGCACCTAAGAGGTCCCTCCGGGTCAGGCTAACAAATGATCCGGGCCCTGGCCAGTTTGGCTCAGTGGATAAGGTGTCGAACTCAATCAGAGAAGGGGCCAAAATCTAAAATCCAGCCTAAATCGCGGGCCGAATGGTTTACTGAACAGTCATAAACTGTCATTGTGATGGAAACGCAGCGGAGTGCAGTGATGACAGCGCGGTGCGGGCCACATTGCAAGGCCTGGCGGGACGGATTTGGCCCGCGGGCCTTGTGTTTGACACATGTGGGATAGAGCATCAGCCTGCAGACTGAAGGGTCACAGGTTTGATTCTGGTCAAGGGCATGTACCCTGATTACAGGCTGGATCCCCGGTCCTAGTCTGGGTGCATACAGGAGGCAACCAATCGATGTGTCTCTCACACATCAATGTTTCTCTCTCCCTCCCCCCCCCCCTCTCTCTCTCTTCTCTCACCCTCCCTTCCACTCTAAAAATTAATGGGAAAATATCCTCAGCTGAGGATTAACAAAAAACAAACAAAACAGCCAAAACCGGTTTGGCTCAGTAGATAGAGCACTGGCCTGTGGACTGAAAGGTCCCAGTGAGGGTTGTGCAGGAGGCAGATGACCCACGTTTCTCTCTCATCGATGTTTCTAACTCTATCCCTCTCCCTTTCTCTCTGTAAAAAAATCAATAAAATATGTTTAACAAACAAACAAACAAAACAAAAACAAAAACAAAGTGATCCGGAGCAGCCTCCTCCCTCTCCTCTCTCCGCAGCCTCCTGCACAAAACTGTGGTCCTCACGTTTACGTCCGAGCTGGAGGAGCAGGAGGAGACGCAGGAGAGGTAGGGCCCCAACACCGTCCTGACCCCACCCTGGGCCAGGCCACCCCCTCCCCGGCTCCCACAGCTGGGCGGTGCCACTCAACTGCCAAGGAACCCAAGGAGCCTACTGGCATTCACATAGGCCCAGCAAGCCAGCAGGCACAGAGGGGTATGCAGCCCTAAAGGGGAAGGTCAAAGGTCAGATGCTGTCCCATTCCCCTCGTGGCGTCTGAAGAGAGCCCTGTGATTCAGGAAGGAGATGGCACGTCGCTGGGGCAGGCTCAGGGCAGCCCGAGAGACCCAGGCCCTTTGGCCTGAACCCCAGGATCGCCTGGCCCCTACGCGTCTGGTTTTGGCCAGAACCTCTGGCTTCCTTTGGCACAGGGACCCATTAGAGAGTGTTTGCCTCCTCCAGGGTGCCTTCCTGGATTGCCCCGGCCCAGCGCTAGGCAGAGACTCAGTTCCGTGCTCTTCAGTGTCCACCGACAAGGTCTTCTGTAGGGTCTGAGCTTTTGGAGGCTTGCCTGAAGCTGCGGCTGGCATCTCTGAAGGCGATGACGATGATGATGATGATTATGATGACGATGATGAGATTAACGATGAGATTAATGATGCTAACGGGCTAGGTGAATGGAGCACTAAGCACCAAACTAAGGCAATTCACATGCATTCTCCAGTAAGAGGCTGAGTGACTGGCCCAGGTTCCGCAGCTGGGACGGAGGAGCCTGTTGGAGCCATAGTCTGGCGGTCTCCAGGCCCGGGTGGAGCTTTCATGGTGGGAAACGAGGCGTTGGCTCAGCCTGGCCTGGCGTGTGTCTCCCCAGGGCTGCATTTCTCGACAGCCTCATGCTCCAGACGTCCTCTGAGCTGCCCCCGTGCTCCCCGAGGATCAGGTACAGTGACAGTATGGCTCCGGCCCCCTCCCTGCCTCTGGCCCCCGCCCCAGGTGCTCCCTGGATGACACGATCTGCTCTAGCCCGGAGTTGGGGCCTGGCTTCCCTGCCTCCCCCTCTCCTGCCCAGCCCCCCACAGGTGGGGCTCGCAAGGCAGCCCCCTCAGTCACCTTCCCCACCGGGCCCCCCCTCTTAAGTGGCCCCAACTTCCAGCAGCTGAGGGGGTGTGGGAGCTCTGGGCACAGAGCATGGGGAGAGCACAGCTCCTTCTGTTCAGGTCCTGAGGCCTGGGCCCGGGGGCTCAGCTCAGCCCCCCAGGATGCTCATCAGTTCTCCTCTGGCCTCTCTCTCTCTGTCCACCTGCCTCTCCCTCACCCTGTCTGTCTCCCTCAGGTCACATCTGTCTGATTTTCTGTGGAACTTTTCCCATTGTCTGTTTGTCCTCCTCTGGCACCGTGCACACATGGGTGTGTGTGTGTGTGTGTGTACGTGTGTGCGCGTGCCTCCTCTCTCTCTCTCTCTCTGTCTCTCTCTCTCTCTCTCTCTCTCTCTCTCTCTTCTCTTTCTCCTTCTTTCTCTTTCTCTTCCTCCCTCCCTCTCTGTCTCTCTCTCCTCGTTTGTCCTTCTTTGTGTCCCTCTCGCTGTGTCTCTGACTCTGGTTTTCCTCTGCCTGTGTGTGACGCCTGTGTGTTATGTGTTGGTCCCTCTTTGTCTGTCTGTCTGGGTGCCAGATGTGTCCGTCCCAGTCCCCCCTGCCAGCCTCGCTCTCTGGCTGCGTGTTTGGGGCCGGGGCGGCTCCGGCCTCTGTGGCAGGGCTGCAGGGCTGTGTTCTGCCTCCCCAGGCTGACTCACTGCGGTCTGCAAGCTGAGCACCTGGAGCAGCTCTGCAAGGCCTTGGAAGGAAGCTGCTGCCCAGGCCACCTCGAGTGAGTGGCGTTGTGGGAAGGCGGGTGGGCGGGGCTGAGCAGGGAGTGAGAGCTGGGTTTGTTTTGCTCTTTAAGACTCGGATCTCCGCTGCCATAGAGAATCTGGTGGAAGTTGTGCCTCTCCCCCGAAGAACACAGGCCCCCCAAGGCCATCCCTGACCCCCTAGGGGTCACAAACCCCAGGATAAGAGCCTGGGGGAGATCCCAGAGGACCCAGCGCCACCTGCTAACGTCTGGCCCCAGCACGCCATGTCCGGTTCCAGGAGAGGCGGAGTGATGGAGGCAGTGGGGTGGAGAGGCAGAACTCCTGCTCACCCCTCCCTCCCCTAACCTGTTTCCCCCCCCCCCCCCCAGCTTGTCAAGGAATGCTCTGGGGGACGAGGGTGCTGCCCAGCTGCCTCTGTGGCTACCCGCACTGGGCCCTCTGCAGTCCTTGGAGTGAGTAGCTGGATGTCCTTATCGCAGCGAGGGGATGTGGGAGGGGTGGGAGTGGGGCACGATTCTCATTCAAATGGAGTCTGGCCTCTGTGACTCAACGGTCCAGCTTCTGATTTAAGGTTTCACTTCTCGAGTCTGTGTCTCGGAGGCCCAGGCAGCCGAGGCAAGGCGGGTGGATGAATGTAGGGGCTGGCGGCCATTCTGGCCCTGGGTGCAGGGCGGGGCTGTCTGATGGGTGCAAGCTGGCAGGCAGGGAGGGTGTGCATCTCACAGGACACCCAAGCAGGGTGCCCGGGGATTCTGGAGGACCGGGCACCTGGCAGAGATGGGAGATTTCCAGGGGGGCGGAAAGGGGAGGTGGGCTCTGGTTAGAGGCCAGGAACCCCAGCCTTTGCCTGCAGCTGCCCAGACCTCCGGGACCCTAAAAGCCTCCTGCGTTCTTGGCTCCCATCCCCTCCTCCCCAGGCTCTCCTGGGACAAAGGGAGAGGGCCCTGGAGAGCGGTCCTGGCCCCTGGTCCCGGTGTGACCCTGAGCACGTTAGGTCACCTCCTGAGCCTGGTTCTCAGGCAGTGAACACAAACAGGAGAGGGGGTGTACTTTGGCTCCAACCTGAGAAGGCCCGCGGGCCCTTCCTGCTCCGACAGGCTCCCTGGGATTCTGGGAAGGAGAGGAGGGCACCCCAGGTGCGGTTGGGGCCTGAATCCAGTGGAGGAGGAGCGACTCCCCACTGCAGGCAAATGATACGCCGAGGGGAGCTTTGGGGGCAAACCCCCACGTGACCTTCTCCACACTGCGGACGCCGAGTCTGGCCCAGGGCCTGCGAGTCTGTAGTCCCCTCCCAGGACCCTGACCCGAGGCGGGTGTCCTTAAACTAAGGTGACCAGATGACCCGCTTTTTTGGGACAGTCCCAATTTTTAACAATTTCTCCCGCGTCCTGCGGAGTTTTTAAAAAGTCCAAAAGATTTAAAAGAATCTTTCCAAAAATCAGAACTTTTTCAAAATGCCGCAGGACGTGGGACAAATTGTTAAAAATCGGGACTGTCCCGCCAACAGCCGGACATCTGGTCACCTTACCCTAAATGGCGAATAAAGCCACCACGACAGGCGGGCGGACGTTGGGCACCGGGCACCACCCTCCTTTACCGGGGGCCTGAAAGCACCCCTACATTCAGCACAGCCAGGGGGAGCCACGGCCCTGTCACCTGTGCGTCTTGTCACTCTGGGCGAGACCTGGCTGCTCTGTGGGCCTCGGTCTCCCCCTCCGAGAGGGGAGCTGGGAGAGGCGCGCTGACCGATGAGAGTTCCCAGTGGGTTTCAGCGTCCGGACGGACGCGGGGACAGCCCTCCCCCATCCTGTGCTCCGGCCACACGGAGGGAGGGTGTTCTGAGGCTTGTAACTCGAAACGAGGCTGGGACCCCCGTCGACGCCCCGCCTGTGGTTCCCCAGCCTCAGTGAGAACGGCCTCTCCCTGGACGCTGCGCTCAGCTTGGCCCGGTGTTTCTCCGAGCTGCCCTGGCTCCTCCAGCTGGACATCAGGTGAGTGAGCCCCGGGGCCCCGCCCTGCCCCTCCCCCCCCATCTGCATTCACCACAGGCATCCTCAGGGCCCACAGGACCCCCGGTCAGAGAGTGGGGTATGGGTGCCTGCTGAAGGAAGGAAGGAATGAATGAGTGAATGAATGAATGAATGAATAAATATAGCTCCAGACACTCAAATTTCTCCATGGGACACAATCCATTGACTCCCTCACTCTCTGGATTATTCTGGGAGACTTTTTTTTTTGTATGTATTTTTATTGATTTCAGAGAGGAAGGAGAGAGAGAGAGAGAGAGAGAGAGAGAGAGAGAGAGAGAGAGACATATCAATGACAAGAGAGAATCCTTGATCCACTGCCTCCTGCACACCCCCCACTGGGGACAGAGCCCGCAACTCAGGCATGTGAACTGGCTGGAACGGAGCCTCTTAGTTTATAGGTCACGCTCCACCACTAAGCCACGGGGGCCAGGCTGTTCTGGGGGACTTTAAAGAAAACTGGGAACACCCTTGTGACCTTTGAGCACTCAGGGACTGGCTGTAATTTCGGGGTCTCCGAAGCTGATGGAACTGTGGGAGGGGGAATGCACCAGCCACACAGCGCTGGGTCGTGCAGTGCAGACCATCCGTGCTTCCTCAAAAGGCCTGCCCACGCCTCCCCTCCCGCTCCCGAGCGTGGGCAGTGTGAGAGCAGACAGGCCAGGTTCAAATCCAGGCTCACCTGTTACCTGCCGACAGCTTCTAGCAGGTCCCTGAGCCCCTCCACACCTCAGTTTCCTTGTCTGTAAAATGGGGTGAGAATACTTCTCTACCTCACAGTTCTAGCATGAGACTCAAAGATCGTGGCTGGTGTGGTTGGCGTGTGCCTTCATAAATGTGGCGGTTGTCCCGTAGTGACTGTGGCATTTGCTGAGAAAGAACAGGGCCACCCTCCAGGCCCCCCTTTGACCCGGTCCGTCTGCCCTGGGGCCCCTGCCTGGGCAGCGGGCCTTTCGCCGGGTCTCTGACTGCTGCCTCCCTCCGTCTGCCTGCAGCTTCGAGAGCCAGCACATCATCCTGAGAGGCGGCAGAAGAGCCAGGTGAGGGCGGAGAGCTCCGAGGGGGAGCGGGCTCCCCTTTCCCTCTGGTCCCCACTTCCTAGAGGAGCCCTCCACCCCCACCCCAAGACCCAGGCCAACCACTGCCAGCTCTAAAGCAAACCCCTTCCCTGTGAATGTGCGGTCATCCGCTGCCTTCAGCCTCTCTGGGAAGAAGCCAGCGCAGACGGAGGGATGGATGCTGGGTGGCAGGCACCACCTTGGAGCTGAGCTGGCAGCTGCCGCTGTGGGGGAGGGAGGAGGAAGCGGCTCCCTGGGGGGACTTTTGCAACCTCTGCAGGCTCAGTGTCTTATGAGTCACTGCCCTTTCACACCCCGAGGAGCGCGTCTGAGAAGCTCAGAGCCGTTAGCACTCTGAGAGTTTCCACATATTTGCTGTAAACACAATGGTGGCTCCTCGCATGTGCTCTATGCTGCCCCCTGGTCTCACCGGCAGGTTGGCAGCACAAGAGCCACCTGAGGCGGGGCACCTGGGCTGGTGCGCAGGCAGCAGTGTCCCCTCCCCAGGTGGCTGTCTGAAGCCAGGGCTGGCCCAAGGCCCGGGTAATCTTTTTTTTTTTTTTTTTTTAAATAATATATATTTTATTGATTTTTTACAGAGAGGAAGGGAGAGGGATAGAGAGTTAGAAACATCGATCAGCTGCCTCCTGCACACTCCCTAAGGGGATGTGCCTGCAACCAAGGTACATGCCCTTGGCCGGAATCGAACCTGGGACCCTTGAGTCTGCAGGCCGATGCTCTAGCCACTGAGCCACACCGGTTAGGGCAGGCCGGGGTGATCTTGCTTCCTGGACTAGGGTCTCTCTTTCTGGGGACCGTCTGGGTTCTTGAGGCCCCACGTGTGGGGGCACGGGGAGACAGTGGTGTGAAGGCCACATCTGTGATCAGAGCCAGGAGAAGCTCTGTCCTGCCCCCCACCCCAACCTGGTCAGGGGCTGCCCCCTGGACAGGTGGAAGCTGCCGTCTTCCTCACTGTGGTTTCCCTCCCCTGGGCCTCAGTTTCCCCATCTGTACAGTGAAGGGGTTGATTGTCCTGAGAGCAACCCCTCCCCCTGCCCTGGCTGTTGAGTCTGATCTTCTAATGTGGATGATTTAAACATTCCTCTCACAATGTTTCCCCACCCCAAGGCACCCGCCGGCCGGCAGCCCTCCGCCAGAGTGCCCCGCCCAAGGCCGGCCCTCGGGGTTCGGCCAGCGCTGCGTCCCCCGGAGCTTCTGGTACCTTCTTGCCCACTTCTTGTTGGGGGGTAACCACCGTGGGGAGAGGGCTCAAGGAGTGAGGAGAGCCTCGGGGTCAGGCTGGGAGGGAGGAGAAAGGGAATTTGAGAGCAGGGAAAAGAGAGGGTGGGCGTGAGGACTGGTGATGGGGCTGTGGGCCCCACACTCCAATCCCACTGAAGACTTCCCTGCTCAGCCACCAGGGGCTGGCGGGCCCCTCCCTCTCCTTGCCTCGATTTCTCTTCTTTGTTTTTTTAAATATATTTTCATTGACTTCAGAGAGGAAGGGAGAGGGGATAGAGAGAAACATCCATGAGGAGAAAGAATCATGGACCGGCTGCCTCCTGCACGCCCCCTACTGGGGATGGAGCCGGCACCCGGCGTGTGCCCTGACCGGGAATCGAACCGTGACCGGCTCTCAGGTTGATGTGCAACCACGGAGCCACGCCGGCCACGCCTGGCCTCGTTTTCCTCACATAAGAAGCGACACCCCAGGGTGGGGCTGAACAGAGTTGTCCGGAGGAGGGGAGGGTGGCCGGGTGTCCAGGTGGCGGCCAGCTTGCACAGAGGCCCGGGGGGAGGGACAGCTGGGCTCGTGGGCAGCGTTTTAGTGTGGCCACAGCACATACAGGAAGCGTTGAGGCAAGTGGGGCGTAGGAAAAGGCTCTTTGCTTTTAGCCTGAGGGTAATGGGGAGCCACAGAGGGTTTCAGCATGGGGGAGGGGGCCTGGTCAGGTTTGCACTGAGGGTGAAGCAGGGTGGATGGGAGGCGAGCAGGGAGCCGGGGTGATAAGGCTGCAGGTGAGTGGTGGTGGCCAGACACTGGCAGGGCTCTGTGGAGAGCACGGAGGGGCTGGAGAGGGCGGCTGGGCGCTCAGAGGGTCGGAATGGTGGGAAGGGAGGGTTCTGGGAGACTTGGGGGTGAGAGTGTACCCTGTGGGGGAGGAGCCTGCAGCTTGGGGAGGACCTGGGAGTCCCTGGGGCTGCACAGGAGCCCCTGAGCCTTCTCCACCCCCTGCCCTGCCTCTGCTCCTTTCCAGCCTCAGCGAGTGTGGCCTGGAGCCCCCGAACCTCACCTGCCTCTGCGAGGCTCTGGAGAAGTGCCCGGGGCCGCTGGAAGTCAGGTCAGTGAGGAGGACGCGGCTGCAGAGGGGACGATGCGGGGATCTGCCCGGTGACCCGGGGGTGCATGGGGTGCCGACCTCACAGCCCGACCCCGACCCGTTGCTATTCAAATCATCCAATACCTCATCAATGTCTCATTGTCTCGGATGGCCTGTGCTTTTCACACGATGTTTGCATGTTTGTGCCTTTTAATACTAACCCTCCCCAGTCTGCTTGTGCCACAAATTATTCACACACACACACAGACACACTCACACACACACACCCCAATGCCAGAGTCTAGATCGACATGCAGTCTGCTCCCGCTATTTTTTGTTTTGGTTCGGTTTATTATTGTTGTTGTTGCTGCTGCTGTTATTGTTGTTGTTGTTGTTGTTATTATTATTATTATTATTATTATTAGCGCTGCAGCCAATGCTGCATAAAGCGCTCTTCTTACAAGTCAAAGGAAAGGAGTCCGGCTTAACCCAGCCCCTCCCACGGGCACATGACCTTCCTCCCCCTCCAGCCTCCGTGATAGCCCAGGGGCCTGGGCTCAGAGGGAGTGTTTGGGGCCCGCCTCTGGCTTCGTGGCCACGCCCCCGGCTGTCCCCACGGCTTCCCCCCACGCCATTCAGACGTTCTGTCTCACAGGTTGTCCCGCGTGGTGCTGAGCGACCAGAGCCTGGACACCCTGCTGAGGCACCTGCCCTGGCTCCCCCAGCTGCGCCTCCTGCAGTGAGTGTTCCCCGGTTTTCTGTGCGGCCCTGGCTCCCGCATGGCAAAGCCCCCCCCTCCCAGCCCGCCTTCCCCTGAGCGGTGTCATCACTGCGTCTGTCACAGCCGGGAGCTCAAGTCTACTCGCAGCTCTTTCCCTAGACTGGATCCACCTTCGGGGGTGTTATGTGACCCCTCCGGGCCTCAGTTTCCACATCTGATAATTGGGATTAATATTCCGCCAGGGGTGGGACTCACACAAGACAGTTGTTTCAAAGCACCTTGAAGAATGAAAGTCCTGCCAAAACCGGTTTGGCTCAGTGTATAGAGCGTCTGCCTGCGGACTGAAAGGTCCCGGGTTCGATTCCCGTCAAGGGCATGTACCTTGGCTGCGGGCACATCCCCAGTAGGAGGTGTGCAGGAGGCAGCTGATCGATGACTCTCTCTCATCGATGTTTCTAACTCTCTATTCCTCTCTGTAAAAAAAAGAATGCAAGGCCTGTGGCAGGTGGGCAGTGGGACTCCTCCCCGCCCACAGAAGTCACCTGCTCCTCGGAAGGGACTCTCCAGAGGCAGGTCACGCGCACCCACACCCCTTTCTGAAGGTCACCTCGCAGGTTCGGAAAGGGGAAATGGAGCCGGATCCCCTGACGTATTTAAAATTCCCTGCTTTCTAATGTCAGCTCCGACTGGTTAGGATTTAAAAAGGAATCCCTCTCAGGCTTCTAGCAGGGGGGAGAAGCTGCAGCCAGGATGGAAAGATACAAGGGGAAAATACATCACGTCATTAATAACAGCAGCCTGAGTTCTAACGCTCAGGATCCCGGGACACCTGAGCCGGCTCACAAGCAGGCTCTCCATCCTCCTGGGCCCCATGGAGGGGAGGGGAAGGGAAAGAGGGGAGACGGCGGCTTTCCAGAGGTGGCCAAGTTCAGCAGAGCTCACGTCAGCCCCCACGGCACCCACTCTGGTCCTCCCCTCCGAAGAGAGCGGGGCAGGCAGGCACCTTTGGACGCAGAAGGCGGCGCGTTAAAATGACCAGAGAGGGATGTCTCTTTGCCCAAATCACACAGCGTCTGTCTCTGGAGCCAGGTGGCCGGCCTGACTCTCCCCAGGTCTTACACTTTGTGTGTATTGCTCAGTCCTGGTGCGTGTGCACTGCTGTGGGCCAGGAGCCGTTTGGGGTGCCGGAGACACAGTGGGGGGCCCTGCTTGGGGTGCTGGGCACACCCCATCCTGCTCCCTGTCGGCAAGACTCGCTGATAAGCCTGTGCTTGAGGGAGGAACAGTATAGCAATAGTGAGCATGGGCGTCGGTTAGGCAGTGCCCACTCTCGATGTAATTAAGTCCTCAGGACACCCGCAGAGGAAGGTAGAATATGAGCAGAGGCCTGTTGTCCATGTAGAACAGTGTTTCCCAAAGTGTGGTATGCATATCCTCAGGGGTACGGGAAGAGTTTTTTTTGGGGGGGTACGCGTTGCACTGGAGTTTGGTGGGGATATGCACTGCACCATGCTTAGCTACGCCTAATTCTACGTTCTCATGAGTACGAGGGGTACTCAGCGTTACGAAAATTATAGAAGGGGCACACATATGTCAGAAGTTTGGGAAACACTGTTGTAGGGAAACTGAGGCTCAGAGAGCTTGCATGGCTCTCGCAGGGACGCACAGCCAGTAAGCAGGGCTGGGGCTCAAACCCCGGCCTGCTTGACCTCAAGCCTCTGTGTGTCCCTCTGAGTCCCCGCTTCCTCATCGCGGGGCCGCCCTCCCCGCCCCCGGTTCCTCCCCGCCAGCCCAGCCTGTCCCGGCTCCCTGCCCACCGCGCTTGCCCGGCTCCGGCGTGCTGACTCGGGGCCGCCCCCTCCCTCCCCAGGCTGAGCCAGACGCCTCTGCCGCCGAGGAGCCCCTTCCTGCTGGCCAACCTCCTCAGCCTGTGCCCACACGTGGAGAAGGTGGCTCTCAGGTGGGCATTGCCCGGGGGCCACGGAGCTGGTCTGGGGGGGAGGGTGCCTGGAGCCTGGGGGGTGTGAGGGGTAGGACGGAGGCAGTGGGACGCACGTCAGAGGCTGGGCTCCTGGAGGGGGGGGTGCCTCTGGGGCACCCTGAGGCGGAGGCCTGGGGCTGAGCCAGGTGCCATGGGCTCCAGGTCTTTCCAGGAGGCCACCCTGCACTTCAAGTCCAGCGAGGAGCAGAGAGGCGGGCGCTGCGGGTAAGTCCCGGGCGGAGCCCTGGGAGCCAGTGGGTGGTGGGGACCCAGAGGCCTGCCTCGGGATGGCGAGAGGACAGACGGCGAAGACTGCGCTGAGCGCTCCCCCAGAAGGGCCTGCAAGGGGTATTGTCCCCTCCAGCTCTGGCCGGGTAGCTCAGTTGGTTAGAGCATCGTCCCCATGCACCAAGGTTATGGTTTCAATCCCTGGTCAGGGCATGCACTTGCTTTTTGGGTGGTGTTTCTCTCTCTCTCTCTCTCTCTTCCTTCCTCTCTATCAAAAAAACATACATATTTTCAAATGATCCCAAGAGCTTTCACTCTCCAGCTGGAGGCTGAATCAGAGAGCTTTGCCCCTGGAGGTGCTGACTCGGGGGGTTGGGGGGGCTGGGCTGAGTCCCCCTTGGAGAGCACCTCCCCAGAGGGAGCACGGGGAGCCAGGGGCCAGCTGTGGGGGAGGTGGGAGTGGTGGAAGAACCCCAGAGAGTCCAAGCTTGGGAGAGGCCACCCCAGGACAGGCCAGGGCGGACTGGGTCTGACTGGCTCACCGCCCGGCTCCGTCGGCTCGTTCCCCCTCCCCCAGCAGGTTCACGGGCTGCGGCCTCAGCCAGATGCACGTGGAGCACCTGTGTGAGCTGCTGAGGAAGTGTGAGGACCTTGGCCAGCTGGAGTAAGTTGTGAGGGAGAACAGTCTGGGAGCAGGCACCTGGGTGGCGCTGGAGGGTGTGTATGTGTGTGTGTGTGTGTGTGTGTGTGTGTGTGCGCGCGCGCACTCAACCCCAGCCCAGGACTGTGGATCACACCCTTAAGGTTTCTCTGTACCATGTTATCCCTCCCACCCACCCCCACTCCCGTGGTAGTGGAGCTGTTTCAGAGTGTGCCCTGGATCTAAGTTGGGCCATTGGAGCCTTTTGGCCTCACACTGACCAAGGCATCGGAGCTCTGCTGGCTGATGGGCACTAACAGGAAGGACCCATTGGTTTTCCTGGCAGGAGGTTAAAGTACCAAATGCCTTGGCCTGAGGGGGGTCCCAGAGCCAGCTGGGCAGACACTCATGAGCTTTCATGCTATTGAGAAGTGGTATCCATGTGGCCTTAGATGCCCAAATAGTGCAGCCCACACGCATGGGTAGAAAAAGCTACACTAATAAAAGAGAAATATGCAAATGTACCATACCTCCACAATGCCCACCAGCCAATCAGGAGTGAGTATGCAAATCAATCCAACAAAGCTGGTGGGTTAATTTGCATACACAGGCTCAGAATGGCAGGGTGGGGCAGGAAGCCTGCTATGAGGGGGAGGGCAGGGGTCTGAGGGAGCTACAGGGGCCAAGGGCATAATCAAAGCTAACTGGGTTTTCTCTAACTCCCGCTTTGCCCCCTGCTGGAGGCCTGGGAGGCCTGGGAGAGGTCAGCAGATACTGAAGGGGAGAATGAGGCCTGGTTAACTGTGGTGCTGGTGAAGGGGACGGTGACGGGGACACGGGAGCAGTTGCGTGATGGTGGTGGTGATAATTGGTGATGATCCTAGTGGTACTAGAGATGGTGATGGCAGTGGTGGTGGTGGTGGTGATGGTGGTGGTGATAATTGGTGATGATCTTAGTGGTACTAGAGATGGTGGTGGTGGTAGTGATAATTGGTGATGGTGATAATTGGTGATGATCCTAGTGGTGCTGGAGATGGTGGTGGTGGTAGTGATAATTGGTGATGGTCCTAGTGGTACTAGAGATGGTGATGGCAGTGGTGGTGATAATTGGTGATGATCCTCGTGGTGCTGGAGATGGTGGTGGTGGTGGTGGGCTTGGGGAATTCAGGTAGCTGCGATGGGATGAAGCTGGTGGTGATGATGGTGATGTGGGAGGAGCAGCGCTGACTGGCAGGGGTGATGTGAAGATGGTGATGAGGGTGCTGTGTGGGTAGAGTGGCAGTGATGCAGCTCTAACCATCAACCGCCTCCTCCTCTTACCCCCTACAGCCTCTCCGCCAACCAGCTGGGGGACGGCGGGCTCAGGAGCTTGCTGATGTGCCTGCCTCGGTTGCCCATCTCGGGTTCTCTTGAGTAAGTGATGAGCAGCCTCAAGGACAGCAAAGAGGAAGCCTCAGGAGCATGGGCTTGGAGGGATATTTTTATATATGTGTGTACATTTTAATTGATTGATTTCAGAGAGGAAGGAAGAGGGAGTGAGAGATAGAAACATCAATGATGAGAGAGAATCATGAATCAGCTGCCGCCTGCACGCTCCCTGCTGGGGATCAAGTCCACAATCCCGGCCTGTGCCCTGACGGGGAGTCAAACCATGACCTCCTGGTTCATAGGTCGATGCCCAATCACTGGGTTACGCCGGCCAGATGGAGGGATCTTTTGAGGGATCCCCAGAGAATCCAGAGGACAAGGACTTGGGAGGGGAAAGGGGTGATTCTTACCTTGACACCCCATGCTGGGCCCTATCCTCCTCCTCTCGTTGCCCACCCGGGAAGAGCCTCCACCAGCCAACCAGGAGCGGCTGCGGCTGGAGCTTGGTGACTGCAGCTGGCTGTGCGGGGAGCACCATACACCCCTAAGCAGCAGATGCAGGGTCTCAGCTCTCTCAGCTCCTGGCCCACCCCGTCCCTGAAGCTCCTCTGACCAAATCCACGGGACACGGATTTAGAGGTGTCCCCACAGCAGGGAGGGTCCCAGGAAGTCATCCACACTCTCCCGGATCTCCCCAGTGAGCTGGGAGGCAGGCGGCCAGGATGGGGATCCAGCCCATTGCTAGGCAACAGAGCTGGGTGCTCTGTGTGGGGCGGGAGCTGCCAGCCTGGCCTGTCCCAGACCCAATGGGCAGCAGGCCCAGAGGGTGCAGGTTTCGAGGACGCAGGGGCCACGCTGCCCGTATGGAGATGGGGCCCCACCGGCCTCTCTGGACCTCAGTGCCTCCGCCTGGGGAGTGGACGCTTGGACATGGAGGACTCTCCTCCTGGAAGTGACAGCGGGAGGGGAGACAGGGGGGGCGCTGGGAAGGGATCCCTGGAGGTGCTGCCCCCACACCCCAGCCCAATCCTTGTTTCTCTCCCAGCCTGAGTGGCAACAGCATCTCTCCGGAAGGTGCCCTGTGCCTGGTGGAGACCCTGCCTTCCTGCCCACGAATCCGGGAGGCCTCCGTGGAGTAAGACACTGGCCGCTTGCTGCTGGCGGGGAAGCCAGGCCCCCACACATCTCGGCCTCCGTCTGTGTGACGGGGGCCGGCCTCTGAGTCTCACGGTTCTCTGAACGGGGCCCACAGTTCCCACACTCTGAGCCCCGGGCCGAGGGAAGGGCAGGCGTTGGTGTGCTTGCCGGTTGGGTTGGGGTGGGATCTCCTCTGGTGGGGAAGGGCCTCTCCCTCACAGCTGCCCCACCCCTTGCCCTTGCACCCCAGCCCCTTTCTCTCCGGCGCCCCCCGGCGCCTGGGTGCTGAGGACGCCGGTAAGCCTCTGGCTTCTCTCACCCTCTCCCTGCAGCCTGGGCTCCCAGCAGAGCTTCCGGATTCACCTCTCCCGGCAGGAGGAGACCAGGAAGACCTTGAGGTACTGCTGGTCTGAGGGGAGGGGGGCTGGCAGGGAGGGAGGGGCTGGCTGTGTAGAGGCTCCATGCCCTCTTATTTGCGGGGCCCTCTCCTCCCTCACGCACCCTCCTTCATGCTCTCTGCCTCTCGTGGGCTCCCAGTACCCCCACCCCTGTGTCCCTTAGCCAGCAGCTACCTATAGGTCTGGAGGCTCATGGTTAGGAGCTCGGGGGTAACCGCCAACTCTATCCCTTACTGGCTGTGTGACTTTGGGCAGGTGACTCAACCTCTGAGTTTCGTCAGTAAAATGTTCCTCACCTGCAGAATGGGGACACAGTAGGACCGTCCCCTTGGGGGTTTTTGTGGGGATTAAATGAGTTAATGTGTATAAAGTTCTTGGGAAGGGCCTGGTTCCTTTGAGTGCTGTATCGGCTATTATTATAATTATTATTATTATTATTATTTATTATTATTTATTATTATATTGCCCTTCAGTAGCCTTGGGCTCCGCCTAGCTCCACCACTGCCCTGGGTCAGTCAGTTCCTCTGCATGTCTGGCTTCAGCCGTGATCATGGCCTCCAAACTGGTCCATGGGGCCTGGCCAGGCCTCCTCCACCCATTCCCCCAGCCCCTGGGGTCGGTCAAGGTCACTGTTGGTGCTCAGTGAGCTCCCGTGGGAGTTCTCACTTCTAGCACTTTTTCCTCAGGCCCTGGTCCAGGCCTTGGCACCCAGTGGGGGAACCCTGGGGTGGGGCTGGGAGGAAGCAGGACAGCAGCTTGGACAGACTTCACCCAGGCTCTGCCCTCTGCCCTCTGCCCTCAGGCTGCGGGAGTGCAGCTTCAGACCAGAGCACATGGCCAGACTGGCCTTTGGCCTGGGCCAGGCCCCGCACCTGACGGAGCTCACGTGAGTGACGGGGCCAGCTGAGGGGGCAGCTGAGGGGCAGGCTCCCTCCTGGAGCCGCCGTCTCACCTCCCTGTGCCCCAGGCTGAGCCGCTGCGGCCTGGGCCTGCAGGACCTGACCCACCTCCTGTTTCTGCTGCCGCCGCCCGAGGGGCTGCTCCGGCTCAGGTGGGTCCTCCCCTGGGCCCGGGTGTAAGTGAACGTGTGCACATTCAGAAGGCCCGGGAGATAGTGAAAACTAAAGAGGGAATAAAATAAAAGCCACCGCGAGAACACCACCATCTGAACAAATACCATTAACATTTCATATATTTTCCTCCTCTCTCTCTCTCTCTCTCTCTCTCTCTCTCTCTCTGTTCTTATTTTTCCTTTCCTCGAACAGAAAATTGCAGTCATGTTTTAGACACAGTTTTGTTTCCTTCTCTTCGCGAGGTGACCTTATGTGGACCTTTGGTTTAATCTAAAAGCATCGTTTTTAAAAAATGACATTTCCTGTTTGCAGCGTTGCAATCACAGCGGGCGTGAGAATGCTCATTTCCTCCGTTATGCTTCTGCCTGGCTGTATAATGTGATAGTTTTTAAATTTGCAAAACCCCCAAGTCCTCTAGGACTCCCTTGGCACTATTCCTCCTCCCCCCGACACACACACCCCCGCTAACCCGGGGACCTCTGTCTGTCCGCTCCTGCACAGGGTGGAGGAGCCGTGGATGGGCCGAGTCGGGCTGCTCACCCTGCTGGATGTCTGCGCCCAGGCCCTGGGCAATGTCACCGAGATCAGGTGGGTCCCGGGAGGAGGCCCCCTCTGAATTCCTCATCGTCTCGTGGCCGTTAGGACCTTCCCTCCCCTCGACGTCAGTCTCTTGTCCTGTGGGGTGACAGCCGTGTCACTAGGGAGTTCTCTGGGTCCCCAAAGTGGGGGGCTGCACCCTTGTTGGGGCTGGTGCAGTCCCAGGTCAAGACAAGGAAGGGGCTGTGGGAGGGGGGAACCTCGGAGAGAAGGCGGGGAAAGGTGGTGGGTGGGAGGTGATCCATCAAACACCTTGTGTGGACATGCGCATCACCCATGGACACAGACAATGGAGTGATGGAGCCTAGGGCAGGGGGGAGGGGCGGGCTGGAGAGGGTCAATGGGGGGGCGGGGAAGGAGTCACATGTGATACTTTAACAATAAAGAATTGTTAAACACACACATGCACACGCACACACACACAGGACAAAGGGCTGTTGGATCTCAGGTGACACGGCTGGGAGTCCACCCTCGCAGCCCTAGGCTAGGTTAGTTACAGTAACACACATCGTGGCTCTGTGACCAGGCGTGGCACCATGATGTGGAGTCGCTAAGCGCAAGGGCTTTGGGGTCCCTCTGACCTGTGTCCGGGTTCCCCACCGGGTCTGGGAGCTCAGAGCCAGGGGGAGCTGAGCAGCCTGGATCCCAGCTCGGTCACACAGGGGAGATGCCGTGGCCTCACGCTGGCCCCTCCTCTCCCTACCCCCCAGCATCTCCGAGAGCCAGCAGCAGCTCTGTCTCCAGCTGCGGTTTCCTCCTCAGGAGAACCCCGATGCCATGGCCCACAGGTGGGACCAGGACCTGGGGCCCCACGGGAGTGGCTGGGGATGGGTTGGGGTCTGCTGCTTCTGACCAGTGTTCCCCGTGCCCCTGCGTGGATGCCCCAAGCCTCTATGTGGCCCCGGGAAGTCTGCGTGACTCTGCCTCTTCGTGCTGTACATCCCCAGCCCCGAGCCCCAGCCCCGGCCCCGGCCTCCTGTCCAGCTCTCAGCTCCCCGAAGACCACCCCGCTCCCTTTGGCCTCAGGGCCTTTGCACGGCGGTTCCCCCCGCCTAGAATGTCCTCTTCTCTCGTCCCCTCTTCCTCCTCTTTCACTTGGCTAACTCCCTCGCCTCCTTCAGGTCTCCGCTTACATGCCACCGTCTCAGGAAGGCCCCTCTGAACCCCCAGACTTAGTCATATCCCCCCTCCCCCATTATCCTCTCTTTTGGAAAGTAAGTGTCATCCTTATGGATGGATGCCGCCTGGCAGTGTACAGACCAGAGCTGGGCCCCAGCCCCAACTCCCTCCCTGCGAGGTCCCTGCACAGCCGCACCAGCTCCCATCGGAGCCCCCCTCCTTCCGGAATAGCAAATGGTAGAACTTCACTTGATCGGCATTGATGCAGCCCCTCAAGGGAAGGTCCTTGCACGCGGGGGCTCAGGCCCTCATAGGGATCCCGGTGTTCAGAAGCTGCTGCCTCCCTGCCTCCCTCCAGGTTGGCTCTCTGTGTCCTTGAGACCCACCACAGCCTCCTTGCCAGGCAGCTGATGGAAGCGTGCATTTGGCTGCAGCAGCTCAGGTCAGCGCCCCGAAACCGTCCAGGCCCGAGTCCTCTGGTCCGCCCCCGTGGCCACCCGGGGCCACGTGTGAGAGGCTGGCAGGGCCAGGATGGGGGTGGGCAGAGCCTGGGGTGGTGCCGGACCCTGGCGTTCCCGCTTCCCTGTGCAGGAGAGCATTGCACTTGGCCAGTGGGGGGCAGCCCTAGGGTGACATTGGGGGGGGGGGGCCCTTGCCCCACTGGGAGCTCTTGGGTGGACTTTCCCCCTTTCTACCCCCCACCCCCGCCCCTGTCTCCATGCGATTGATGATCCCTGAGGTCGTCGGCCTGAAATGCCTTGGCCTATGCTTGGCCCCTTCAGCTTGTCCCAGGTGAACCTGTGCCGCACCAGCTGCCTGCTGCTGCGAAGCTTCCTGCCAGCCCTCTCGGAGCTGAAGACCTTCCGGTGAGCCGACAGGGCTTCCCCCAGGCCCGCAGCTCTGCCCGGTGCCGCCACCACCACCACCACCACCACCACCTCCACCCCCTGCTTCCCTCGCCTCACTGAGCTCAGTGGAACCGGGTCCAGGTCCCAGGGCTGTGGCTGATGTCAGGGTGTGTGCTCAGAGGCGTGGCCTCAGGCGAGAAAGGAAACCGTTCCCACACTCTTTCTTCCTTCCTCCCCTTTGTTTCTTGGAAATCATCGCAGCCTCACAGCAAAGCTGTAAGAAGACTTCATGTACCATTCTCCCAAATTCACCCTCCTTCGTCAGTATTCCCCTCACACTGGCTCTTGTTTTCCTCCCTCTTTCCCCGCCCCTCCCGTCTTTCTACCCCTTTTCAAACATTTCACAATGAGTTGCATAAGCATGCCCCTTCGTCCCTTAATATTTCAGCGAATTTCCTAAGAGCAAGCACAGACAGTCTTTCCCAGAATCCAGAAAACAACAACAACAACAACAAAAAAACCATGAAATTTAGGAAATTTAATGCTTCTATTATTTAAGCCAGTGATTGGCAAACCACGGCTCTCGAACCACATGCGGCTCTTTGGCCCCTTGAGTGTGGCTCTTCCACAAAATACCACGTGCGGGCGCGCACGCACAGTGCAATTGAAACTTCATGGCCCACGTGCGGAAGTCAGTTTTCGGCCTGGGCGCGTCTTTTTTTTTTTTTTTTTTTTTTTAATATATTTTATTGATTTTTACAGAGTAGAAGAGAGAGGGATAGAGAGTTAGAAACATCAATGAGAGAGAATCATCGATCAGCTCCCCAGGCTTGGTCTTCCATGATGTTGCCATGACAGCCGCCTGCCCGTTATCCTGTAGGCCGCCCTGCAGCCTGGGTGTGGCCCGCGTGCCCTCCCTCTGAGATGCAGGCTCTGGGTGTGGGGCAGGAGCATCCCTGAGGCTCTGTGTGCCCTCAGCCCGTCACACCTGCACATACGTGATGTCTGTCTGTGCCCTCCCCTGGGTTAGGTGGCATCTGCCAACCCCATGGCTCCCAGTTTTTCTCTCTTTCTCATTAGCGAGTGTCTTTGACGGAGCTGCTTTAAGACTCCGCAAACTTCCGGTTCTGCCTCAGACTTTCACCCACGATTTTTTTTAAAGATATATTTTATTGATTTTCCACAGAGAGGAAGGGAGAGAGGGAGAGAGCTAGAAACACCGATGAGAGAGAAACATCGACCAGCTGCCTCCCGCACACCCCCTACCGGGGATGTGCCCGCAACCAAGGTACATGCCCCTGACCAAAATCGAACCCGGGACCTTTCAGTCCACAGACCGACACTCTACCACTGAGCCAAACCGGTTTCGGCTCACCCATGATTTTTGGCATTTGCTAGCACTTCCTGCCTGAATCAAACACCAGGATGGTGGTTGCAAAATGGGGCTTCCCTAGCTTTCAATTCTGTGTTAATTCAGCTGTTTGCATCCCAGAGAAGGTCTCCTTTTGCCAATATGTCTTTCTATAAATAAAAATAAAAATAAAAATTTTTTTAATTGATTTCAGAGAGGAAGAGAGGGAGAGATACAAGCAGCAATGTTGAGAATCATCGATCAGCTGCCTCCTGCACGCCCCCTACTGGGGATCACACTCACAACCGGGGCCTGCGCCCGCGCCCTGATGGGAATCAAACTGGGACCTCCTGGTTCATGGGTCGATGCTCAACCACTGAGCTACACCTGCCCGGGCGCCAATGAGTCTTGAACGCCGCTCCGAACTTGCTTCTTTTGTTGTTGTTGCTGTTTAAACAGAGGTGTAGAGTTACCCAAAAAATTTTTTTAAAAAGGTGTAGAGCTCATGGGCATGGGCAGTCACTAGCTAGATTTCACAGTGACACCCACTTACGGCACAGATTGCAAAGCTGCCCTATGAATGGTGATGGTTTAGGAAAATACTCAGCTGGTCCTGTCTCCAAGCAATGTCCCAACTTCCTGACTCCAGGGGGAGAGATTTATGAAGGAAAGGAGGACCCCCTCCCCCTGCCTGACCTGCTGCCCTTTGACCCCTCCCCCCCCAGGCTGGCCTCCAGCTGTGTGAGTTCCGAGGGCCTGGCCCCCCTGGCGTCTGCTCTGAGCCTGTGTGACCACCTGGAGGAGCTGGAGTGAGTCTCAGGGAGGAGGGGTCTGGGAGGGGCTGAGGGCCAGCGGTGGAGGGGGGGACAGGGAAGCGGGGTTTTGGGGAGCTGGGGAGTAGAGGTCAGAGGATCACTTTCTCCCTGAGGAGTCAGGGTGTGGCCTGGGGAGGGCTGAGCCCTCTGTTCTTGGTCCCACCTCCACCTCTCCTCCAGTGCCCTGGGCTTGCATGCTTCATCTGTAACCTGGTTGTGCCCTTCTCTGCCCAGGTGGCTGTGGGTGAACAGAAAAGATCACTGTGTGGGGGGGTGGGGGGATGAGGGGGTAAGGGGATGGGGGTGTGGGGGGTGTCCCTTGCTCCGGCCTCCTCTTCGGCAGCCCTCACTCAGGGCATCATGTCTTAGCCCGGCCATGCCCCCTCCTCCAGGACCCCGGAGCCTGGCCGTTGGAGCCAGGAATGCCCCCAGGGAGCTGGGCAGGAGGGCTGGCTAGGATGGGCTCCTGCGGGCACAGAGGGGTCCAGGCTGGGCAGGCTTGCCTCACCCGCTCCTTGTGCCTGGTCCCCCCACAGCTTGTCTAACAATCAGCTCGGCGAGGCAGCCACCCAGGTGCTGATGGCCCTCAAATGCAAGAGCAGGCTGAAGAGGCTGGAGTAAGTGCTGTGCTTGGTGCCGGGAAGGGCCGGGGGAGCGGGCCTGGCCACCTGGCAGCTTTTGGGAACACGAACCATCCAATCCCTGCCCGGCCCGGCGAGCTGGACGCCCTCCTTTTTACTCCCCGACCTGGCTCTGAGGGCCGTCCCAGTGCTTGCTCACGCCAACCCACCCCAAGCCGGAAATGCACTGGCATCGACCCATGAACCAAGAGGTTACCGGTTTGACTCCTGGTTGGGGCACATGCACAGGGTTTCAGGCTCAACCCCAGGAGGGGGGTGTGCAGGAGGCAGCCCAACCCCAGCCATGCCAAGGCCTCCTCCGACTCCTCCCCTCCAGCCTCAGCCACTTCCCCCTGGACGACTCCACGCTGGCCGTGCTCACACGAGAACTGCGCTGCATGACCCGCCTGCAGAGCCTCTGGTAAGTGCCCACGCAGCCCCGTGGGCGTGGGCGGGAGGACTGGATCTCCACAGGGACCTCCGGCCCAGGAGGTGCTGTGCCCTGTCCTTGGGACATTCCTGCATCCTGCCCGCTGGTGCCACTGCCCCTGCCTTTCCATGCCACCAGCTCCACGAGGTACCTGCTCTGGGGCCCCGACCACACTGAGTAGTGAAGGTCTAGACCAGCGATTTCAACCTTTTCCATCTCGTGTCACACAGACACATTACTAACATGGCACACCAGAAAAAGGATACATGTTTTGCCAATGTGACCAAAGAAACGTGTATAACTTTTTAAAATATGTTTTTATTGATTGGAGAGAGAGAGGAAGGGAGAGGGCTAGAGAGAGAGAACCATCATTGACTGGCTGCCTCCTGCACACCCCCTCCTGGGGTTGAGCCTGAAACCCCAGGCATGTGCCCCAACCAGGAATCAAACCGGTAACCTCTTGGCTCATGCGTCGACGCTCCACCACTGAGCCACACCGGTGGAGCAAGGGCATAGTTTTGATTCCTTCACACCAGACAGCTGTTGTTGTGTTGGCTGTTGTCGTGTGTTTTTTTATTTGACAATCTAACGGAAAAGAAGCCAGTGCTCTTGACTACACAGTCAGGTATGTTGCATGTTCTTGTATGTGCCCCGACTGGGATTGAACCCACACCCCTGGCATGTCAGGACGATGCTCTAGCTCCGTGGTCAGCAAACTGCGGCTCGAGAGCCACATGCGGCTTTTGGCCGCTTGAGTGTGGCTCTTCCACAAAATACCACGGCCTGGGTGAGTCTAAGTTTAAAAAATGGGGCTCTCAAAAGAAATGTCCATCTTTGTCCTGTTGATACTGGGCTCTGGTGACTAATGAGTTTGCAGACCACGGCTCTAGCCGCCGGCGCTGCCTGGCCAGGGCAGGTGTTGCGTGTTAAGAACTCCTGCGGCACACCGGCTGAAAGTCTCTGGTCCAGACTCAGACCTGGTGACCTTGACAGTCTGAGCTGGGGGAGTGGCCTGTCCCTGCCCCAGGCCCCAGGACACTTTGGAGGGGGGAGAGGACAAAAGCAAGAGGCTCCTTGAAGACACTCCTCACGTGTCGGTGACATGCAGCCGTAACCCCTGATGTAGGGCCCGGGAGACCCAGTGGCGGGAGGTGAGGATGCTGATGGCAGCAGGAGGCATGTAGGGCAGACATCTGGCAGGACCTGGCAGACACGGATAGGGGTTTGGCGTCCTCACCCAGCACAGTGTGAGGGACCTCTTCAGAGGCAGCCGCGGCCTGTCTCCAGATGTCAGCCTCCTCCTGGTCTGGGACCTGGTGTAGGATGGGGCCGGGCGTGGGAACCCACAAGCTGGGGGCAGGCGGCTGTTTCCAGTTCCGCTGTTTGTCTCTGCAAGCCTGAGCCACAACCAGATGGGAGACAAGGGTGCCCGGCACTTGGCCGCCGTCCTGCCCCGGCTGCCTGAGCTCCGGAGGATAGAGTGAGTGGCCGGCCCTCCCCACGGGGGCCCTGGGTGTTGGGGGTCGGGGGGGTGCCCCGTGGTCTGAGGAGACCCTGGCTTCTGCCTCAGGCTGAACTTCAATGTCAGTGCCAGCCGGCGGGCCTGGGTTCCCTCCCGCCTTGCTTGCATTGGGACCGCGAGCGGCCCAGCCCCTGCCCCACTCCGGGCCTTTCTGCCCCACCAGCCTGGGAGGGTGTGCAGGGGCGGTGGGTGCTGTCTCTTAGGGCCCCGGGAGATGAGGGTGTCTGAGGGTCTGATGTCTGCCCCCTCCCCGCAGCCTCTCAGCGAATGGCATCGGCCGGGCTGGGGGAGTGCGGCTGGTGAAGTCCCTTGCCCTCTGCAAGCACCTGGAGGAGCTGCTGTGAGTGTGTGGGGGAGGGGGGGTGGGGGGGGCGAAGAGGAGGACTGGCCTCCACCCGCTGTGTCCTCACCCCCCACCTGGCCCTCATCTCCCCGGGGAGGCGCAGGGCCGGGCCTGAGGCAGCCAGCCCGCCCGGTGCTTAGCCTCCTCCCTCCTCTTTTTTCTTTCTTTCTTTCTTTCTTTCTTTCTTTCTTTCTTTCTTTCTTTCTTTCTTTCTTTCTTTCTTCTTCCTTCCTTCCTTCCTTCCTTCCTTCCTTCCCTTCCTTCTTCCTTCCTTCTCCTTCCTTCCTTCCTTCTCTTCCTTTCTTCTTCTTTCTTCTTCTTCCTTCCTTCCTTCCTTCCTTCCTTCCTTCCTTCCTTCCTTCCCCTTTCTTTCTTTCTTTCTTTCTTTCTTTCTTTCTTTCTTTCTTTCTGTTTGTTTTGTGTTGTTGTTGTTGTTGTTTGAAGCATTACAAATAGTAGTGCATATGTCTCCTTTTTCCCCCTTGACCTACCCCCAACCTCCCCTATCCCCCCAGTATATGCCTTCACCTCCCCCCCCCCCACCGTCTTGTATCCATTGGTTGTGTTTATATGCATGCACACAAGTCCTTCGGTTGATCTCTTACAGGCCCCCCCCCCCACCTCCCTTGCCTTCCGGCTCTAGTTTGACAGTCTGTTCAACGGTTCTTTATCTCTATAACTATTTTCCCCCATTTCTTCTCTTTGAAAAATCTTGCAACTGCAGGCTAGAAATAAACATATAATAACGGAAAACGTTTGAGTACCAATTTCAATGTCCAGCTCCTCCCTCCTCTTCCTCCAGGCTCAGCTGCAACGCCATGGGGGACCTCATCACCCTGAAGCTGACCCTGGGGCTGGCCCAGCGCCTCAGAGTCCTGCAGTGAGTGTCCCCGCCCGTGGTGTGTGCGGGCTAGTGGGCGGGGCTCCCCCATAAGCGTGTGGGGGTCAGGGGCCTCAGCCATTGGGCTGCCCTGTCTGCAGACTCAGGGGTCCCAGGTTCGATTCCAGTCAAGGGCATGTACCTGGGTTGCGGGCACATTCCCGGGGGGGGGGGGGGGGGGTGTGCAGGAGGCAGCTCATCAATGTTTGTCTCTCATCGATGTTTCTAACTCTCTATCCCTCTCCCTTCCTCTCTGTAACAAAAATCAATAATATATATATATATGTATGTATATGTGTGTGTGTGTGTGTGTGTGTGTGTGTGTGTATATATATATATATATATATATATATATATATTTTTTTTTTTTTTTTTTTTTTTTTTAAGTTACACGGCTCTGAGCCAACCTCCCTCATACACAGCCAGGCCTTCAGCTCGGGGTCTCAGACTCCGCAGCCAGGGTCCCCGATGCCCCCTGGGTCCTGTGTGGCTGGGCAGGGCCGTTACCCAGAGACCGTCTGAGGTCTGGCAGAACAGCCCGAGACAAGGCTGGGAGTGGGGGATCCAGCTCCCCTAACCCCCGACATGGTTCCCCAAGAGATTCCCCTTCCCCCTCCCCTCTCCCCAGCCTGCGGTCCAGCCGTCTGGGCCCAGCGGAGGCGCTGAGCCTGGGCCTGGCCCTGGATGGATGCCCACGTTTGGAAGAGATCAGGTGAGTGGGCACCTTGGAGCCTGGGCACGGGGACGGGAGGGGGCGTCCGGGGGCTCTGCTCACAGCGTCTCTGCCCACAGCTTGGCAGAGAACAGCCTGGCCGGACAGGTCCTCCACTTCCATCAGGGGCTCCCGCTGCTGAGGCAGATAGAGTAAGTAGCCCCCCGAACCCCTGGAGCTGGGCGGGAGGGTGGGGGGCAGCCCTCTCTGACACCTGGGAAGGCCTTTCTTTTTTTAAAAATGTTTTGAGAGAGAGAGAGAGAGAGAGAGAGAGAGAGAGAGAGAGAGAGAGAGACATCAATGAGAGAAACATCCATCTGCTGCCTCCTGTCCGCCCCCTCCTAGGGATGGAGCCTGCAACCCGGGCCTGTGCCCTGACTGGGAATCAATCTGGTGACCTCTCGGCTCCTGGGCCGATGCTCGTGCACAGAGCCACACCAGCCAGGCGGGAAAGCCTCTGAAGTGACAGAGGGGGAGCACTTTTCTAAGCCTCCCCACGCGCCCCGGCCCCCGGTCACTCTGCTGCCTCCTGCTCCGCGTACAGCCGCAGGGAAGGGGCTGGGAGCTGGCCCTGACTCAGACACCTCCACCCCGTCCCGTCCCTCTCGTTCCCCAGCCTGGTTTCCTGTGAGATCGACGACCAGGCTGCCCAGCTCCTCATCGCCAGCTTCGCGCTCTGCCCGGCCCTGGAAGAAATCCTGTGAGTGCTGGCCCCGGGGCCAGGAACTGCTCCCTCCCCCAGAGCCCTCCGGCTGCTGACTGGGAAGCTCATTCTTGCTCAGTTGGGCCCTGTGTCCACAGCCTTTTGTGCCCGTATCCCTGCCTGTGAGTGGCGGGAGGACCCTAGAGGCTCTTTGCCCCTTTGGGAGGGGGCTGGATAGGCCGCCTGGCCTGGCTTATGGGACCTTGATTTACAAACCACCTGTTGGAAGTGAAGAGTAGCTGAAGCCAGCAGGCCTCCCTCCTGCCCACTGGCCTTGCCCCCCACACCCGCTCCCTGGGCAATCAGAGGCATTCAAACCTTGCCCCGCCGACATGGCTCAGTGGTAGAGCGTCGTCCTATGAACCAGGAGGTCATGGTTTGATTCCTGTTCAGGGCGCAGGCCCGGGTTGTAGGCTTGATCCTCAGTGTGGGGCGTGCAGGAGGCAGCCGATCAATGATTCTCTCTGATCATTGATGTTTCTGTCTCTCTTCCTCTCCCTTCCTCTCTGAAGTCAATCGTGTGTGTGTGTGTGTGTGTGTGTGTGTGTGTGTGTGAAAATAGGCAACAAATAACAGAGGTGCATGGATGTGACAAGAGTCACGATGGAGCACGTGTGTGGTGGGAGTTGGGACCATGACATCATTTCCGCTGCCTGGGTCTGAAGGATGACCAGCTTGGGAATGGGTTTGTGGGGAGCAGGGAGCCACCTTGAGAAGTCCTTGGGGGAGGGCACACGGCACCCCATCAGGGACCTCTGGCGCCTGTTGGCACCACCCTTCCCATCCGCCACCTCGTCCTCACGCCCCACCTCCCAGCTCTCCTGATGCCGACCTGGCCCCTGTCCCGCAGGCTGTCCTGGAACCTGCTGGGGGACGAGGCGGCTGCCAAACTGGCCCAGGTCCTGCCTCGGCTGCAGCGGCTGAAGAGTGTGGAGTAAGAGGGGCTATTCTGGGAAGCCAGAGGGGGCGGGAGGGCCAGAGGCCAAGGATCAGGCCTCTGCCTCCAGGAAGCCCTCCGTGCCCTAGCCCTAGCCCTAAGCCTAACCCTAACCTCTAAACCCTAAGCCGTTCTAACCCCTAACCCCTTACCCTCACCCTCACCTTTGTCCCCTGACCATTGACCCCCTCACCTTTAGCCTTTTACCCTTGACCTTTGACCCTGACCCTTGCCCCTAACACCTGATAGCCCTAACAACCCTAACCTCAAACCCTAGTCCCTTGACACTAGATCCTTGACCACTGACCTCTGACCTTTGACCCCCTTACCACTGACCTTTGACCCTGACCCCTGATTTTTGACCAATGGCCCTGGCATTTGACCTGTGACCATGACCTTTGGTTCCTGAACTTTGAAACCTGACCTCTGACCTCTGACCATAACCCTCAACAGCCGTACCAATCCTAATCATAACCTTAACCCTACTCTCTTGATCTAGATCCTTGACCCCCCCCAACTGTTGACCCTTGGCCCTGGCCTTTGATCTTTGACCCATGACCTTTCACCTTTGGTTCTAACCCTTGATTCTTGACTCTAACCTTGTCAACCCTGACAACCCTAAACCCAACCCTAACCCTAGACCCTAACCCTAGATTCTTAACCATTGACCCTTGACTCCTCATCTTTGACCATTGACTTTTGACCCTTGACCGTCCATCTCTCCCCTTGCTCTGCTGCGCCTCGGGAAGCCTGGAGAAGAATCGGATCACAGCGTATGGAGCCTGGCTCCTGGCTGAAGGGCTGGCGGAGAACGCCGGCATCCACGTCATCCGGTAACGGACCTGCTGGGGCTGGGACGGCGGGCAGGCGGGTGGCCTCACCGACCCCTGCAGGGTACGGGGGCCGGGGATGGGACTTGTCGAGGAGACTAGGGCCACTCCACCAGGAATCTGGCAGCAAGTAAGCCTTGTCACATCCCACCGCTGCCGTCCCCAGTTGTGTCACTTGGCCTCCGTGATTCACCCGCTCCCAGCCTCGCCTGCCTCGCCCATCCATGGGGATCAGGATAGCGTTCACCTCAGAGAGCTGCTGAGAGGGCCAGTGAGCGGCAGAGCCCGAGCACAGTTTCTGGCTCACAGTCAGCACTCGCTCTGCTGGCTCTGACCAGAGGCACCGCACTCGGGTGCAGAGGCCGCGCACTGCGCGAGGGCATGGCACCGAAGGCACCATGCACCTCGAGGGCATGCTAGACGGCCAGCAGACAACAGCGAAGCACTTTGTTCTAGAAAAACCAGCAGGTCACGACCATTTCAGACAATGCAAGTAAAGTGTCTTTCAGAAGGGGGCTTTAACCCTAGCCAGTTTGGCTCAGTGGACAGAGCCTCAGCCTGAGGACTGAGAAGGGTCCCGGGTTCGATTCCGGTCCAGGGCACGCACCTCGGTTGCAAGATTGATCCCTGGCCCTGGTCAGGGCACATGCGGGAGGCAGCCAATCGATGTGTCTCTCTCATAGATGCTTCTCTCTGTCTCTCCCCCTCTCTCCCCCTCTCTAAAAAGCAATGGAAAGGTGCCCTCGGGTGAGGATTAACAACAAACAGCGGAGCTTTGCTCTGACTTGGCAGGATGTGTTCTCTGGCAGGAAGACTGACCTTTGATACCTGACCTCTGACCTCTGACCATAACCCTCAACAGCCCTAAGAATCCTAACCATAACCCTTTCCCTAGTCTCTTGACCTAGATCCTTGACCCCCCCCCCCCAACCTTTAACCCTTGACCCCTGGCCTCGTGGTGGTCCAGGCTGGGGGTCTAACTACCTACAAAAGTCAGGGGGGTGGTGGCAAACACCCTCTCGCTGGGTGGCCCTGCCCAGTGTCTCTGGACACAGCTCTCCCCCGGGCGGCCTCGGTCTCCCGTCTGCAGGTAGGACAGGGAGGCAGAGACAGGAGGATGGGCGCTGAGTGTCCGTCTCTGTGTCCGCAGCCTCTGGAATAACCGCATCCCCCCGGACGTGGCCCGGCACCTGCAGAGCCGGGAGCCCCGGCTGGACTTCGCTTTCTTCCCCAGCGAGCGGCCGGCGCCTGCGGGGACCTGAGGGCCACCTCATCCCCTTTGAATCCAGCCACGTGACGCCATGCCTGCCCCCGCCTGGATGGGGGCTCAGGAGGAGCCTCAGCGGGCGCCCCTGTCCCTGCCCCAGGACGGGGGGGAGGGGAGGACACACGTGTCCTGCGACAGCCTTCAGGGAGGACTTTGTGAGAACCGAGAGCCTCGTGTGGCCCTGAGACGACCTTGCATTCCATGTGGCATGCGTGACCGGTAGGGACATGTGGCATCATGAGTGTGTCATGTGATGTATGACACAGAAGGTCACCTATGGCAGAGTTCCATGTGACATTACACGGAACTTGCCGTGTGGCCTGTGGCTCAGGGTCAGGGGTCCTAGCACTACACGTGATAGGGATTGGTGGTTCATATAAAACACATGACACACGTCCATGTCCTATAGGACACGTGGCTGGCCCGATGCCCTTGGGCTGGTCCAAGATCTAAGTTATTACTTTTTAAAAAAAAACAAGCGTGTATTTATAGATGGCACTTCCAGAGCAGCTAAGTAAGCCAGAGCCCGTCTTCCACCCGGGACTGGAGCGAGGCGAGTGTCTGAGCACTGACCGGCCCTGTGAACCGAGACAGGGTCTTCAGGGGAGCCCCCTCCTGCCTCAGGTCTTAGCTTCCCCATCTGTAGACGGGTGACTCCTCCCCTTCAGTGCTGACCTCCGGGGGGGAGCCAGCTTGGCCTGTGGATGGAGGGGGCCCAGTCTGTCCTGCGTAAGGGACAAAGCCAGGCCTAGGGTAACGAGGCGAGGCCATGGGGTCCGGCCACTACCTCCGGGACACCCGGGGAGCTCCTCGGGGCCGCACATGTTACACGGTGCTCCTGTTACTCCCCAGAGGGCGCCAGGGCGGCCCCAAGACCCTCTAAGCCACGTGTGACCAATAAACGGGACGGCCTCCCAGCCTCCAGTCCGACTCGGATGTGTCCCGTGTTTTGTGACCCGGGAAGCGACCTCCCCGAAGTCAGCGGTGGTGAGCCCCGGGGAGCAGAGTAGGACCGCAGAACAGAGACGAGCACTGGCTAAGGAGCCAGGGGTCAGGTCTGTGCTCTGTCTGCGTATGGACATGCGATCCAAGCCACCTCCTCTCGCCAGGCCCCACCTGCCCCCCGAGGGGGTTAAAGAAGCTCAACGTGTTAGAAACCGTCCTTGTGTGACTGGCCTTCTACGTGAACTCTTTCCTGAACTCGTTGTCAAATATTTAAAGTCGGGAGCCTTTGTATCAAAATGCAGACCTTCAACCTGTCTTAGGGGCTAGTCCAGCATTCTCACTCAGGGGAGAGCGAGAGAGGAAAACCGGTTGCCTCCCGCACATGCCCCGATGGGGGGCGGGGGTGGGGCGATAGTGAGGCGGTGGTGGTGGTGGAGATCTAACCTGCAGCCCAGGTATGTGCCCTTGACCCGGAGCTGAGCCCACGGCCATTCTGGTGCGCAGGGCGGTGCTCTAACCACTGGGCTCTCCTGCCAGGGCTGGCGGTGCCCTTTCGATGTGGCCCATACCCCTCCGTTTCCTGCAGTCCCAACCACTCCCCGGTGATCCTCCCTCCCGTGTGCTGCTTGCCTGGTTCTTTCGAGAGTCTGGAAGCTTCTGGCTTAGAGGGTCTGTCTCCACAGGCAGGTGGTGCATGGCTTTGAAAGTCAGACGGGCCTAGAATGGACTATGGTGTGACCCTAAGCCGGGGGCTATTTCTGTGCAGAAGTTAGTAACAATCCCTGACCCCCCGGGACTTTTGGAGGGGTCAAGGGAAGCAAGGTATGCAGTCCCTAGTACAAAGAGGTAACTTACATGCTAGTTACATCCCCCTTTTAGGGTTCAATATCATGTGAGGGAGAGATGCTTGGAATGATAGGAAAACAGCACCTCCTCCTGGTCACCTGTGGGTCTCAGAGGAACTTTCCTCAAAAGTGGCCACGCACGGTGAAAAGCTGGCAGGAAAGGTGCAGCTACAGCAGAGCACCACGAGAGGGCAGGCTGGCCCAGATTTCTGAGATCACCTCTTTCCCGTTAGGCCCGGAAGGGAGTTAGGTGATGCCAGGGGCTGCCCCCAGCCTGGTGGTGCCTCCCCTGGAAGGCTCAGCCCTGATCTTTGCCAACCTCCACATTGACCTTTGACCCAACCCCCGCTGAGTGTGAGGGGAAAGTCCTCTGGCCGAGTGCCAAACACCACACCCCCTGTGCGGAGCCAGGGCACACCTGGCGCCAGGTGAGGCCGCCAGCCTCGTCATGGGAAAGGGGGTGGGCAGATGGAAGATCCAAGAAGTTCACCTGGAAACTTTGAGCCCAAAGTTCCGTCCCCCCTTCCCGGGAGACGATGCCAAGGTGGCCTTGGGCCCTCAGGGTGCACCCTCATGCCAAGGGAGTCGTGCTGCCCCCAGTGTTTGCCCAAGACTGGAGGGTGAGTCCCTCAGAGCCCGCCAATGCCCTGCCCGGCCGGCGTGGCTCCGTGGCTGAGCATGGACTACAAACCAGGAGGTCAGGGTTTGATTCCCAGGCAGGGCACAGGCCTGGATTACGGGCTCCGTCCCCAGTCGGGGGCGTGCAGGAAGCAGCCGATCAGTGATTCTCCTTCATCATTGATGAAATTGGGAATTGAACAGGGACCTCATAGTTCATGCTTTTGTGGCTTTCTCCCCTCCCTCCCCCACCCCGCCCCACCCCCAGTTTTACTGAGATATAATCAGCGTACACACTGTAAGTTTAAGGGTACGCCATGATTATGTTGGAGGCGGCTGGAAGGGCGCCAGGTGCTAGACCAGTGAGTCAGACCAAACCTGGGTTTAGTGGCCTCGGTCCTTAGGGTCTGGCTAGGAGAGAATTCAAACTGTGAGAGAACATCTATGGGGTAAGTCACAGAGGTAGAAGCAGCAATTCCTGGGAGAAATGGGCTTAGCAACCAGGTTCCAGAGGTAAAGGAAGGGCCTTGGGGCTTGGGCGTGGGGAAGCGGAGGGTAACGTGCCTGGGGAGGGGGAGGGAAGAGAGGGAAAGAAGGGGGAACACACTGGCTCCTCCATCCTAAGGGTGTTCAGGGCGGAGGTTTTAGGGGAGGTCCCAGAAAGCCTCCATAGCATATTGGGTAGCTTGCCAGGTGTGTCCATTCAGGGTTGTGGTCTCCACTGGCTGATTGGCCGGCACCAGGGCAGCTGGTCCTGATGTCACAATGGCTGGTTTGGTTGCTTATCCGGTGCGCAGACGGACAGACGGATTGGCGACACCAGGGCAGGGCTCATTATTCAAGGCAGCTGGACCTAGGTCCACCCTGGCGGGCTTGGCTGCTTATCTGGGCCTGGAGCTGACATACCCCTGGGGCCTAGGAGTTCTCTCTGGGGCTTTCCATTTCCATCGCGGTGACCTCCTGACCCCGCTCACATGCGTCTAACTGCCTGGAGCCATTTAACGAGCAAGTTTCGTGAGATGATTCTCACAACCAGTTGAGTCGACATGGTGTAGGCAGCAGGGAGGACGCAATAGAACACTCAGCAGTTTTCCAGGTGAGTCCCTTTAGGGTTGTGGTCTCCACTGACGGATGGGCCGGCCCCGGGGCAGCTGGTCCTGAGGTCAGCCATGGCTGGTTGGGCTGCTTATCGGGGCCCGGAGCTGAAGTACAGCTGCAGCCTAGCTGTTACCTCCAGGGAGAAACGGTCAGGGGGTCCCCAGCGCATGACCAGCCATCTGCTAGGGGAGGAAAGGTCACCTTAGGGGGTCAAGGTCCCGCCTTACATTTGCCCTTAGCTATCTGCCTTTGCTCTGCTTCCATCTGTCTAACTGCCTACCCGCTATCTCATATAGACACACACACACAAAAGGAAAAATGGGTGTGTTTTTTTTTTTCCTTGACATGAAACATCTTAGGATCTACTTACTCTCTTAACTTGCAAACTTTGGGGCCCTTACTCCACACAGGGGCAGCCCCAGCTTCCTCCTCTGGACAGTGGGATGAGCAAAATGGGGCAAGGCACAAGGACCCGCTTTCTCCAGCTCAAAGCCGTCCTCCCGGTTCACCCCCGAGGCCTGCCGCACCCGGTTACAGCTGTGCCGGGCTGCGCCCTCTGTGGCTGGGGTGGTCCAGGCTGGGGGTGTAACTGGTTTGTGGGTCTGTGTGACCCTCAGAAAGTAAGGTGCTGGGCAAGGCGGGAGGGCTGCGCACCCTCCCTGGCCCTGCTTCCGCCCCCAGCCCCACCCCTGCCTGAAGGGCTAAGGCCAGGCCTCAGGGTGGAGGCCCCGGCCACAGCTGGACGGATCCGGAGCTTCCTGGAAAAGCCTCCCAGTGGCTGGTTTGGTCAAGACCGTCCAGGGGCTGGGCTGAGCTGAGGAAGTTTCCAGGCCAGCCAGTCATCCTGGCATCCCTGCCCCCGCCATGTGCCTCCCAGCCTCCTTCCTCCAGCCACGCCTTGTTCCTTGTTCCACTGGAGCCCTGGCCCCGCCTGGCTGCCCAGAGGGCGAAGTCACAGCCGAGGAGAGAACAAAGGTCCAGCGGGGTTCCCAGGTTGAGTCACTGGATTGGAAGCATCTGGGGCTGGACCCCCCAGTTCACCACCCTACCCCCTGCCCCCTGCCAACACAGATCTCCAGGGCCAGGCTGGGGCTGACGGAGGAGTCTGGTATCTGGGGCGGACAGGGTCGGTGCTCCAGCTGACCGTCCCAGCTGTGGTCCCAGCCAACAGCCACCCCGATGGCCCAACGTGAGAGAAAAGCTAGAGAACTCCAGCCCCTGTCGTCTTCTGGCGCCAGCCGTGCGAGAAAAACTGAGCAAGAACTGCCCTCGGAGCCCCAGCCAGTTTGGCTCAGTGGATAGAGCGTTGGCCTGTGGACTGAAGGGTCCCAGGTTCGATTCCAGCCAAGGGCTCATGCCCAGGTTGTGGGCTCGATCGCGTGCAGAAGGCAGCCAATCAAGGATTCTCTCTCATCATGGATGTTTCTATCTCTCTCCCCTCTCCCTTCTTCTCTGAAATCAATAAAGAAATATATATATATATATATATATATATATATATATATATATATATATAATTTTTTTTTTTAAGAAAAGAAAAAAAAAAGGAACTGCCCTCGAGCAGAGCCCCAACGGCCTCCAGGGCCGTAGAGATACTGAGGTTCGGGGTGACGTGATAAACATCGTGTGGCCTTCCATCATCCCCCTCCCCCCCCCCCTTTGGCACACTGAAGTGTACGCACAGGCAGCCCTGTCATCCTGGCCTATTTGTCCAGACAGCCTGGACCGAGGACATAAATACCCAGATGGCAGGTGCTTCACACACACACACACACACACACACACACACACACACGCCCGGAGCTAGGCCTATTTAGGGAAATTCAGGCCGCCCGCTTCCGCAGAGAGGTCTCCGCCGGGCTGAGGAGAGGCTGCCTCCAGCCTTTGGCAGCAGCGGCCTTGTGCCGTGTGTGTGTGTGTGTGTGTGTGTGTGTGTGTGTGTGTGAAGCGAGGACAGTGCAAATCAACCTACTTGGGCTCTCCTGATCCCTGACCTGTGTCTACACGGCTTTGTTGAGAAGTAATTCACAGACTGTGGCATGCACCCCTTGAACGTATCAATGGTTTTGAGAATTCCTACATTTTTGTGCAGCTGCCACTATTACCAAATTTTAGGACATTTTCAGCCATCCCCAAAGAAACCTCATACCATGCGGAAACCGGTTTGCTCAGTGGATAGAGCGTCAGCCTGTTGACTGAAGGGTCCCAGGTTTGATTCCAGTCAAGGGCATGTACCGTGGTTGCGGGCACATCCCCGGTGGGGGGTGTGCAGGAGGCAGCTGCTCGGTGATTCTCTCTCATCGATGTTTCTAACTCTCTATCCCTTTCTTTTTCTCTCCGTAAAAAATCAATAAAATATATTTTTTAAAAAGAAAAGAAAAAAGAAACCCCATACCAACAGAGATCACCCC